TTATTAAGATAATTGATTCAAAATCGAAATTGAAACAAATTTTATTTAAAACATTTTTTGATAAAAACAATAATTATTGAGATAATTAATTTTGATTGCATACTATTCAGAGGGAAATTAAAATTTCAAGTTAGCAAAAAATGGTATTAACAAACACTGTTCCTGAAGTAATTCTGAACAAATTTTGTTAACAACTTTTTTTGATTAAATCAACAATAAGGATATAACCTCAAAAATATTAATTTTTGTAGCATACTGTTCAGTGGGAAATTAAAAGTTCAATTTAGAAAAAAATTGTGTTAACAAAAATTGTTCCTGAAGTAATTCTAAACAAATATTGTTAATAAAAATTTTTGGTTTGATCAATAATTAAGAACATAACGTCAAAAAAAATTTTATATATATTTTTATATTTTTTAATTGAGAAAATCGTTTTAGAATTTAATTTAGAGCAACTTTTGTATGAAATTTTCTACTGAGAACGAGTGGAGGGGGGAAATCGTATCGTTTTGTTACAAAAGTTCCGTGCCCTAGTGATAATACTAGTGTTAGTTCTAGATTTAGTGGTTATTCAGTGCCAGGTTGTTATATACTTTTATTGAACTACATTTAGAGCTAACACTAGACTTAGAACTAGAAACATTCGGGTTAAGTGACGCACGACAAAATGTTGTATATTCTTCAAACTTGTTTCTGAACAAGGTATTAGCTTATAGTTCTAGCGTTACTTCTAATTATACATGCGTTTGGGTGATAATGGTCAAAAAAAATCCGCGCATATCTAAGCGCATGATGCAAATGAGTTAATATTAATTTTTTGAAATTATTTACGCGCTTGGAATACGAAGAGGATCAGTTTTATAACTGATGTTGGCACAATTTTTATCTAGAGTAAGTTGGTCCTTATCAAGTTCAATTGATTCGTGTTTATCATTAATATCCAATTGGACTTTAAATTTAACTTCGTCAAGTCTATTTATTTTTTCCCACGCTGATTGGCAACGTTCTATCAAAAGCTTTTTAACATTTTCGAGGACACAGAGTTCCTTAAAAATAAATTAATTCAAACCCAATTTTATCAAATAATTAAATTAATTTTTACCCTTTTTAATTCCGTATCTCCATCATCATAAGTAAGCTCAGCACCTTGCCTACAATCCCTCATCGAAATACATTCCGATACAATACTTATAGGAATCCCTAAAGCTTCAAATTCTTTCTCAGTTGAAAATTTTTCCTCCCTCAAAGCGTTTACTTCGCGATTAATCAAGTTCAAACAAGCTTGTAAAGTGTCTTTCCATCGTATCATTTCAGTGATACGATCCGCTAATCGCGCGTTATTGTGATAAGTATCCCAATCGGTTTTTATCCGGGTTTCATTTCGAAGTTGTCTTGCTTGGTGGCGTAACATAAACGCATCATTTCTTCGTGTATCGTTCGTTTGCTGACTAGCCCATTGTTTCGCGTTCCAATCGGCTAATCCTATATGTTGAAGTGGTTTTTCGAAAGTTACCACAGACGCTTGCATCTTGGTTGTGTTTTAGGAGCAACTAAAGATTCGAATTCGAAGAGAGGCTAAATGAATAAACTGGAAAATGTCTTATTGACAAAACATTCCTTGGATACTTTAGTTTGATCGATTTTGTCAATATATATAGGGTAAAAATAATGCGTGGTGTGGTCAAAATTTTTAATGAATCAATATAAATGTTTATTATTAGTTTACAAAATAATACAATTTATAACTTTAAATATACTAATTCAAAGTTGCGTCTTAAACTTAATAACCCCCAATTTATTATCGAATTTAAACGAATAACCTATATTTCCGGGACATTTTTTTCCGCGCATTAAATGAACCCCCTGCCTAACATGAATGTTCCATTGTATTTCAGTATTAACATAAACAGTTTCCGTTGGTCCCGATGATATTTTTATATTTTCTTCTTCGTCAAAGATCCAATCCACCCAAAGAGCCAAACCGTTACATTCCCCACTTCTATTTTATTAACAAAATAAATTTAATAAAAATTAAGATTAAATAAATAAATTTTTTTACCCCGTTAAATTAAATGAACCTGACGTGGCAACTTCTTGCGCGCACAAATTTGGAATGTCCAATGTTGCAATATCCACAATTTCCGACATCGCTTTTCCCTTATATTCCCATAAAGGTTCAGCGTCCACGACATCATCAGCTATTGATGATGAATGCTGATAAAAACAAATTAAATTATTCTGTATTAATAAAATATATGAGTCTATAACCTAAACAGGATGATGGTTTGATCATGAAATTAATTGTGTGTTATATTTAAATATTATAACGTAGATCCGGGACGTAATTAATCAAAATAATGACGTCGTTATTTCATTCATAAAATTCTGTATTCTTTTGTGACGTAGAAATGAATATAATCTTTATTTTATTAATACAACAATAATCAAAAAGAAAACAGGATACGGTGGTTTAGTATTAAAAATAACTTCATTATACTGAGTATTTTAATTTTATAACGTAAGATGGAAGTGTAATTTATGATGACGTCCTTAAAAAAACCTAATAAGGATATTTCATAATATACAATAATAATAATGTCAAATTTATAAAATGTCGTCTTCAATTTTATAGCTATACAGGGTGATACATTTAACGTGAGACAAGCGATTATCTTGAAAACGATCCATTTTACATAAAAATGAAAGTTGTTCTGTGCAAAGGGGGAAACCATGTGACGATAACATTTTTGGTCCATGATCTTATTTTCAAGGTTATATGAAGGTCACGACCAATCTTCTTTTGAGCAGGAAATTGGAAATCCCCTTCCAAATTAGAAAACTCCGAAAAGCCTACTCTAAGAGACCTAGTTATTGTAGTAACAAGGTGAGATAACCAGCGAGCTAGAAGACATCAAGCACACATGGAGAGCTTACTTTCAAGAATATTTAAATGCCATAACGCGAGATCCAATTGTGTGCGAAAGAAACGAGGACGATGTGGATGAAAATAAAACTGACAGCACAAAAAAAAAATACCAGTAGCAGATAGCATCAGGCAGGGATATAGTCTTAGCCCAATCATAGGGGGCTTCACTCTGTCAAAATGTAAATGCTAACGACGATGTGTTTATTGCTGAAAACGATGCTACATTAACTTGAGTGAACTGCAGGGAAGTTTAACATGATCATATCTGTTCAGAAAAGGGTATCCCTCACAATACCCAAAGAACCAAGACGCTTTAAGTTAGCTATCTATACTACAACCAGACAGTTAATCAAATCATGACCTTTAAAAACCTCGGCGTTAACATTACCAGCTATAGAAATATAAAAGATATCATCTGGAGAAGTAAGTATATGTAAAACCTGTCATGAGGTATGCAGGAAAAACGAGAGCCGAAACAGCAATAACATAGTTCAGTGATCACAAGAGAAACGAAGATATAAGACAGCAGTGCGACGTGAAATATGTAGTGAGATAGGTCAGAATGAGAAGAAGAGAATGGAGAGACCACGTGGATAGAATGGCTGGTGATTGAATTGGCAAAATCGATTGAGATGGTATGAAAGTTGGACTTCCGCATCTCAGGAATGAGACGTAGTCGGAACTGAAAAACCATGTCCTGAATAAACTGTTTCCACCTACTAATGATGAAACTATGGAAAAAAGAAAAGATTCCCAAGGAGTGAGCGAAAAGTGTTTTCTGCCTAATATACAAGAATGGGGACAAATTAACCTGCTCAAACTACCGTAGAATATCACTGCTATACACTGGATATGAGATACTGACCTGGACCATAAACAAAAGGCTCAAATCCTGCAATGACATCAAAGGTGTATTTGATGTGATGAATACACCATATGATTGAAATGAATGGCGTTTGTTCATAGATGGTTCTAAGTACAGTTTAAAAGCGGCTCTACTCCATATTGGAAATAAAAAACCATCCATTCCGATTGCTCACGCAGTACAAACTTGGGAATGCTATGACACAATGCGTACAATTTTTGTCAAGATCAAATACAATGAGCATCCAAGAAAATTTGTAGCGATCTAAAGGTTGGGAAATAAATTAATTGTAGTTCATTTTGAAATATATATTAATCGATTTACATATTCATTATTATAGGTTATTGCATTATTGGTCTATTGCTTTTGCTGCTTTTTGAGTCTGTGGGGCCGAGCCGTACCCATTATTAGCCAGGAGAACAAAACGTGTCCACATACCACTTGTGAACCCACAGGACGTTTTATTGCCACCTCTTCAGATTAAACTTGGCCTTATTAAGAACTTTGTCAAAGCGTTCAATCTCGAAGGAGCGGCTTTCTAGTACTTAATCAAGTTGTTTCCAAAACTGTCATACACAAAAATCAAAGAAGGAATATTTGTCGGACCTGATATTCGAAAACTAATGGCTGATGCAAAGTTTACAAAAGGTTTAACGCCTGATGAAGCAGCAGCATGGGCATCGTTTCAAAGTGTTGTTCGTAACTTTCTCGGTAACCACAAATCACCTGATTACAAGCAAGTAATTGACAATTTTTTTGCAAAATTACCACAAGATTGGAGCTCGAATGTCTCTCAAGATACATTTTCTGCATTCACGTCGAGCGACGAGCAAGGAGAGCGGCTACATCAAGATATAGCGAAAATCGAAAGGCGATACCATTCGGATATATTCGGATTTTGGGACGAAGGCATGATGAGCAACTACTGTTGGACCCTAATGCGCGAAACAAATCCCAAGCAGTATAAAAGACTCAGTTCAATTTCTGTTCATATTTCTAATTTATACTATTTAATTCAATAAATGGCCGTTAATGGTCAAAAATAGCAAAATAATGAATTTATTGAATATTTCGAAAACTAGAACCAATTTTAATAAACGGGCTGCTGATTTGGAGTCAGCCCCCCAATTTTCCTTATAAACAGCTTTTGGTTGCTCAGGTCCAAAACCGTGTATACGTGTGTTATAGTACATTATGCACAAATTGCAAACACCTACAAACCTGGTAAATCAGAGGTAAGTATATAGATCCAACCTGCTGTCAAACAAAACAGTTCAGCTGGTAGGTTACGTAGATAACATCAATATAATGCTGCAATAATTAATTTTGTCCACGACTACCTTATAATATATACCTTATGAATGAGTTTTCTAAAACAAAATGCTAGTCATTTTTCACGGAGTGAATAATAGCGGTGAATAATAATCATTATTCACGGGTAGCCATCTTGACCAGACTAATAATAATTATTTGAAACGTTAAAAGTTCAAAAAACGTCAATTTAATTCAATTTTTTAGGAGTTTCTAAATGTTTGACATTAAAAAAACTTAAACAAATTCGTTTTTTCGTATGATTTAAGCAAAAATTAATTAATTTTCGTAAAGAAAACGACGTTTTATAAAACTGACACTTAATTTTGACAAATTGTTGTGAAGTTGGTTACAGTTAGTAACATTGAATTTGTGTCACATTACAGCATTACTCGTGTGATTACACGACTCGGTCTACGACCTATGTAATATAAATAACTATAATATAATTGCTGTAATAATATGTGCAATTATAGCTCACTAAAAGAAAATACAAGAAATATAAGACTGGAAATCAAAATAAGCAGAGCAAATATCCTTATACTGTCAAGAGATGCTGTAGTCACTGCGCCAATGATAACTGATTCTGAGTCTGCCCATCATTTATTTGTTCTATGACAATCACAAGAAAAAGGCACCTCTATTTCCAAATAATTAATTAATAAATATTTTTTGTTTGATTTTCAGATAAAATCTGATTGAGAAAAGAAATCAACAGCCAACTTTAAAACAAGATTTTACGAGAACTGTTATAACCATTTCATTTATGTTGTGCAGAAGAGATTTAATATATCAACACAAAATCGTCCGCTTTGCAGAATTCTAACGCCCCATCCGCAAGCAACCTTGACGATTTGGGGTGAAATCGTCCCATAGATATCTTAGTAAAGATACAAAGTCTCTTATAAGAAGACATGTATCTTCACTCCGCCGAGGTCGCCTGCGGGCGAGGCGCTAGATTTGATATATCAACATGAAATCGTCCGCTTTGTAGAATTCTAGCGCCTCGCCCGCAAGCAACCTTGACGATTTGGTGTGAAATCGTCCCATAGATATCTTGATCTGAAGATATCCCTTTCTGAAGACATTTACCCTTGAGTGAGGGTAAATGTCTTCTTATAAGAGACTTTGTATTTTTACCAAAGAAATTGTATAATTAGAAGCAGCATTGTCTATCTCCGCCCGTATACGAGATTAAAGCCAACGTTTGAGTGTTTGTTTTGGTATTGGTCCCACTGACAGTGGCGTCTATAGTTTCGGTAAAATCATACATACACAGTGGCGTACATGAAGAAAGGTATATTATCATTATTTTTTTTTATTGAGCATGGTTGAAATGTTTATTAAGGACTGTAAACTTTGAGTTCTTTTGTAATTAATTAATTTATAATTGTAACCGTATAAGTTGTGAACAGTTTATTTCTTATAAGTAAATTAAAGATGATATAATTAAAATTTTACAGTACTTTCATGGTAAATATTGCAGTAAAAATATTGTATTTGCAAATAACATTGGTATTTTGTTTAAAAATTTTTATTACATAACTTTATATATTGTATTTCATGCCCATCAATAACATACATCATCATACGCATGATCTCCAAAAAGATCATAAATGTTTTGAGGTAAACTTAATAAAATGGAATTATTTAACTTTAAAAGTATGTTCTTGTTATTGAATAATACATTTTGTCGTTTATAGTCTCTAATAATTTTTTCTCTAATTAAGTAGAGTTTGACTACAAACTCAGAAGCTGTAGTCATAAATCCCATATGTCTTTTGTATCTGTAGCATTGAAATATTACTAGTTCCTTCTACTATATTTAAATAAAATTGACAAGTAATATTAGTTTTTAGAAAATAGTAGTTAGGTAGTTAAATGCATGTTGTCTAAGTTCGCAACGTCTATAATGCCCAGTGTTTCAATTTCATCATTTTTATTTTTGAGTATTGATGAACAATTTAAAATATTAGTATAATCTCATGCAATTGCATTTCTAAATTCTGCCCCTTTACTGCCGGTATGTACTAATAGTTTTTTGTATTTTTGTTCAAATTGTAGTGCAGTAGAATTGTTACAATACCCACAACGTCGCCTCAATAGTTTTGTGACAATTTATAGTTAAATATAAATTTTTTTTCTATCTTTAGGAAAACTGAAATCATTTTGAATAAAATCTTTTTTCAGAAAAATATACTGTATTTTTCGGACTATAAGACGCACCTCAAAGTTAGAGACGATTTATTGAAAAATATATTTTAATGGTACCTTCGGACCATAAAACACACCCAAAATTGAGTCAATTTTTCTATGTAAAAAGGTGCGTCTTATAGTCTGAAAACTACGGAACTACTAAAATGTTAACTTCGCCAAAGCCAAAACACAAATGCGCACACAAGCCTTGTTTACTTAGGAGAGAATTATTCATTTATTAGGGTTCGGTAAACATGGATAAACATTACTCAGGTAAATTTATTTTCAAAGAAACCATAAAAAGATTGGCCTGTTCGGAAATACTCGGTGATCGTCGGCCGGACGGTCACTTCTAGTTATCCAATTATTATTCTAGTTATACAATTTCTTTGATTTTTACTGAGATATCTATGGGACGGTTTCACTCCAAATCGCCAAGGTTGCTTGCGGGCTGGGTGTTAGAATTCTGCCAAGCCGACGATTTTATGTTGATATATCAAATCTAGCGCATCGCCCGCAAGCGACCCCGATGGAATGAGAATAAATGTCTTCTTATAAGAGACTTTATATCTTTACTAAGATTCCGCCTTAAATTGCTGAGGTCGTTTGCAGCCAAGGCGCTGGATTTGATATATTAACACGAAATCGTTTGGAACATTTTAGCTCCTCGCCCACAAGCGACCTCGGCAGTTTGAGGGTAAATGTTTTGTTATAGACCTAAATAGTCAAAAAATTAAGTGTTAAAGCTTGGAATCTTTACAAGGTAACTATCTCAACAAATTTTTCGCACTTTTATTTGGCATTAGTCCATGGATTGATTATAAAATATTAAATTTAAAAATTATGTACGTTTACAATAAAATTTATTTTGAATCATTTTAATCTTACCTGTATTAAACAATCAAAACTGTCCATTTTAAATCCTTCACACGTTCCCAAAGGTGATCTAATCTTATACAAATGTTCAAATTCAACAGCAACACCTCTAATAATAGCCTTACTAGGAAATACTTTAACATCCTCGCTAAACATCTCTTTATACTCTCCCAATTGATAAGCAAACTGAAGATTGTCCCAAGGAACGATAGCCGATATAAAATAAGGCTCACCAACGATCAAATTAAATTTAATATCAGTCCGTGATTTTAATTCAGCATTAGGAAGTATTTCAATATTTTTTAAATCGTTGCATTCAATAAAACTTTTTATCAAACTAATCCAATTCGATCCGTTTCTGGACCAATTCGGTTCGACGAAAACAACATTTTTCGCGCCCAATTTGGCGGCTGCTAAAGCTTGATAAAAACCGTTACTTAAAACGAGAACGACGCTTTCTTTGGTGATGTGTTTTTGAAATAGTGAGGCGAACTTTTTTGTGCGACTTGGATCGTTCATTTGACCGATTCTAGTGCGAGAATAAAAATCGTGTAAACTACAATCACAGAGAGGTTTTTGGTAATCTGTTTCGGTTATGTTATCTTTTTTTATATTAAACCATAATGAGTATTCATCATGGCAACTAATTAACTGTAAATCTTCGCCTTTCCAAACTTTTAAGTTGGATGGGAAGTAATAAATAGCTTGCATCCAATGATCTCTCCATGGTGCTTTATCACCAAGTGGATGCACCCAGTATGGGGCGCAAGATAACTTGATTTTGTCATCAATATCCATGTCTAATTCCCACCACATAAATACGGCGTGAGCTATCCCATCTCGTTCAGCTTGGAACGTTTGTACATTGCTTCGATCAAAAATAAAGGGTGATTTTCCAGACCAATCAAATTTAAAGATAGGTTTTGGTGATATTATGGTGTTAAAATAATTTTTATCGATGTTATTTAATTGTAAATCATGTACAGCAGCTGTTCCTTTACAATTCTTAACAGTTTCAGGTACAGTTAACAATAAAACACCTTCCTCATCATAAACATCTTTTAATCGGTTCCAATTATTAATAAAAGGACTTTCAACAACTTGAACATACATTGTAGCATTATGTGGAATAACAATACAATCTTTTTCTAATAAATCATTGTGAGCATTTTTGAAGGTACCAAAAGCACCCTCTCCTATTAATTCAGTATCAAATACTTCAGTAACCAAAATATTCGCCTTAAAATCCATATCAACCCCAATTTTAATATCGGTGGATCGTTTTGGAATAACTTTTATTTTGCCACTGAACCCATTCTCATCAATTACCTTCTTAGCACACTCCCCCATTGGGTTAAAAGCTTCACAAGCAACAACACTATCGGCTCCATGTCTTACAGCCATCATAGATAACAAACCTGTTCCCGTTCCTATATCTAAAACGTTCGCTTTCTTTCCTTGCGAATGCATTCGATCAATCGCCACTTTCAAAGCTGCTTCATACTTTTCGTTTCGCTCATAATCGTGTAACATATCAGCATAAGCAGCTCTCGCGACTTCTTGATGAAAATTGTAATTCTCACTTTGTATTTCCCAGGCCATTTGGCCCGTAATGGGGTTGAGGCGTTGCGTAAAAATACTCATCGTAACAGTTTTATAAGTAATTAATTGTTTTAAAACCAATTTAAAAAACATTCAATGTTTTTGAGGTTAGTGTATACATACGGCGATTTATGTTTTGACAGTTCGGCGACATCTATGATTGAATTAATGTATTAAAAGAATATATTATTTAATAAATTATTTTCTAAAATTGTTTTAAAATTAAAATTTATTTAAATAATTAAATTAAAAACAATAACTTATTATTTTAATTGACAAAATATTAAACTAATTATAATGTATTTGAAATGTGGCGCCATCTTTTAATATTTTAAGTCTGATTTAACCTAAAAAAATTTAACCTCAATAATGCCATACAAATATTTCGGAAAAACAACTTTTAGAGATAGGTTTTGGTGATATTATGGTATTAAAATAATTCTTATCGATGTTATTTAATTGTAAATCATGTACAGCAGCTGTACCTTTACAATTCTTAACAGTCTCAGGTACAGTTAACAATAAAACACCTTCCTCATCATAAACATCTTTTAATCGGTTCCAATTATTAATAAAAGGACTTTCAACAACTTGAACATACATTGTAGCATTATGAGGAATAACAATACAATCTTTTTCTAATAAATCATTGTGAGCATTTTTGAATGTACCAAAAGCACCCTCTCCTATTAATTCAGTATCAAATACTTCAGTAACCAAAATATTCGCCTTAAAATCCATATCAACCCCAATTTTAATATCGGTGGATCGTTTTGGAATAACTTTTATTTTGCCACTGAACCCATTCTCATCAATTACCTTCTTAGCACACTCCCCCATTGGGTTAAAAGCTTCACAAGCAACAACACTATCGGCTCCATGTCTTACAGCCATCATAGATAACAAACCTGTTCCCGTTCCTATATCTAAAACGTTCGCTTTCTTTCCTTGCGAATGCATTCGATCAATCGCCACTTTCAAAGCTGCTTCATACTTTTCGTTTCGCTCATAATCGTGTAACATATCAGCATAAGCAGCTCTCGCGACTTCTTGATGAAAATTGTAATTCTCACTTTGTATTTCCCAGGCCATTTGGCCCGTAATGGGGTTGAGGCGTTGCGTAAAAATACTCATCGTAACAGTTTTATAAGTAATTAATTGTTTTAAAACCAATTTAAAAAACATTCAATGTTTTTGAGGTTAGTGTATACATACGGCGATTTATGTTTTGATAGTTGAGCGACATCTATGATTTAATTAATGTATTAAAAAAATATATTATTTAGTAAATTAATTTCTAAAATTGTTTTAAAATTAAAATTTGTTTGAATAATTAAATTAAAAACAATAACTTATTATTTTAATTGAAAAAATAATAAAATAATTTTAATTTGTTTGAAATGTGGCGCCATCTTTTAATACTTTAAGTCTGATTTAACCTAAAAAAATTTAACCTCAATAATGCCATACAAATATTTCGGAAAAACAACTTTTAGAGATAGGTTTTGGTGATATTATGGTATTAAAATAATTTTTATCGATGTTATTTAATTGTAAATCATGTACAGCAGCTGTACTTTTATAATTCTTAACAGTTTCAGGTAGATTTAACAATAAAACACTTTCCTCATCATAAACATCTTTTAATCGGTTCCAATTATTAATAAAAGGACTTTCAACAACTTGAACGTACATTGTAGCATTATGTGGAATAACAATACAATCTTTTTCTAATAAATTATTGTGAGCATTTTTGAAGGTACCAAAAGCACCCTCTCCTATTAATTCAGTATCAAATAGTTCAGTAACTAAAATATTCGCCTTAAAATCCATATCAACCCCAATTTTAATATCGGTGGATCGTTTTGGAATAACCATTATTTTGCCACTGAACCCATTCTTATTAATTACCTTCTTAGCACACTCCCCCATTGGATTAAAAGCTTCACAAGCAACCACATTATCTGCTCCATGTCTTACAGCCATCATAGATAACAAACCTGTTCAACACTTTCAAAGCTGCTTCATACTTTTCGTTTCATTCATAATCGTGTAACATATCAGCATAAGCAGCTCTCGCGACTCCTTGTTGAAATTGTAATTCTCACTTTGTATTTCCCAGGCCATTTGGCCCGTAATGGGGTTGAGGCGTTGCGTAAAAATACTCATCGTAACAGTTTTATAAGTAATTAATTGTTTTAAAACCAATTTAAAAAACATTCAATGTTTTTGAGGTTAGTGTATACATACGGCGATTTATGTTTTGACAGTTCGGCGACATCTATGATTTAATTAATGTATTAAAAAAATATATTATTTAGTAAATTAATTTCTAAAATTGTTTTAAAATTAAAATTTATTTAAATAATTAAACTAAAAACAATAACTTATTATTTTAATTGACAACATATTAAAATAATTATAAATTATTTGAAACGTGGCGCCATCTTTTAATATTTTAAGTCTGATTTAACCTAAAAAAATTTAACCTCAATAGTTCCATACAAATATTTGAAAGAAAAATAACAACTTATAGAGATAGGTTTTGGTGATATTATGGTATTAAAATAATTTTTATCGACGTTACTTAATTGTAAATCATATACAGCAGCTGTAACTTTACAATTCTTAACAGTTTCAGGTACAGTTAACAATAAAACACCTTCCTCGTCATAAACACCTTTTAATCGGTTCCAATTATTACTAAAAGGACTTTCAACAACTTGAACATACATTGTAGCATTATGTGGAATAACAATACAATCTTTTTCTAATAAATCATTGTGAGCATTTTTGAAGGTACCAAAAGCACCCTCTCCTATTAATTCAGTATCAAATACTTCAGCAACTAAAATATTCGCCTTAAAATACATATCAACCCCAATTTTAATATCGGTGGATCGTTTTGGAATAACTTTTATTTTGCCACTGAACCCATTCTCACTATTAATTCAGTATCAAATACTTCAGCAAAATATCGGTGGATCGTTTTGGAATAACTTTTATTTTGCCACTGAACCCATTCTCATCAATTACCTTCTTAGCACACTCCCCCATTGGGTTAAAAGCTTCACAAGCAACAACACTATCAGCTCCATGTCTTACAGCCATCATAGATAACAAACCTGTTCAACACTTTCAAAGCTGCTTCATACTTTTACTTTCGCTCATAATCGTGTAACATATCAGCATAAGCAGCTCTCGCGACTTCTTGATGAAAATTGTAATTCTCACTTTGTATTTCAAAGACCATTTGTCCCGTTATGGGGTTGAGGCGTTGCGTAAAAATACTCATCGTAACAGTTTTATAAGTAATTAATTGTTTTAAAACCAATTTAAAAAACATTCAATGTTTTTGAGGTTAGTGTATACATACGGCGATATATGTTTTGACAGTTCGGCGACATCTATGATTTAATTAATGTATTAAAAGAAATATATTATTCAATAAATTAATTTCTAAAATTGTTTTAAAATTAAAATTTATTTAAATAATTAAATTAAAAACAATAACGTATTATTTTAATTGAAAAAATATTAAAATATTCATAATTTGTTTGAAATGTGGCGCCATCTTTTAATATTTTAAGTCTGATTTAACCTAAAAAAAAGTTAACCTAAAAATTTTACCTCAACAATGCCATACAAATATTTCGGAAAAACAACAACTTTTAGAGGCAAAACCCTATGGGAAATCTTAGGAAATTTAAAAAACTTAGGAATCGGACGTGTTATAGTCCGAAGTGCTTTTGAAAAATATCCTGAACCTTCCTTCATAAAAATAGTTAAGGTTGAAACTTTGCCGTCACCAAAAGAACCTTCTATTGATGTAATAACATGATTTTAAATTTTCCATCATTTTAAGTAACTAATTAATTGTTTTAGAATGTTCGTAAAGTTAAAGTTTTAGTGGAAAAAACTTTTAGAGGAGTAAAATCACCTAATCTTGCAACGATAGAGTCGAGTTCTTATAAAACGGATTACAGATTACTTTCAAAAGATGAAGAAGCGGAATATTGCAAAATTGAGAAAAAACCTGAAGTACAAATGAAAATTTTACCAAGAACAATGGCTTTACCACCGTTATTAAAAGAAGTGATAATTCGAGAAATGAAAGCTGAAGGAAAAATAGTAAAAGATGAACCAATGATCGAAATTGTTTATAATAGGCATGTGATTAAAAATAAAAAAATTAATACTAGAATTGCTAACGAAGGTGAAAAACCAAATGTTGAAATTAATATTGGTTTAGGTAAACCGATTTGTTCGCGACTTTATAAAGGATTAGAAATATAAATTTTGATTTTGAAAAAAATATATATTATTTAATAAATAGTAAAGATGAATTAATGGTAACATTCATTGTCTTCATTTTTTTCCCGACAAACACACCAAGGTGGAATTGTTGATGTCGTCTCCTTTAATTGTAATCTATCCTCTTCAAGAGCTCTCCAAAATTGTCTCACTTCTTGCACATCATCTCTCCTTCTTACCCAATAACCCCTCATGTAAGCTTGAATTTTTAAAGCTGCATAATCTTTACTCCAAATCCATGAAAATGGAAAGAAAGGTCTTGGACTAAAACAATAATTGAACTCTAATAAAGATATATTAATTTTTTTTTAATAATTAACTGCGTTTTAAGACTTTTTTTTACCCAATCCATATCGAAAAGATTCGTCCAATTATCTTTTCTTTCTGGATGTCTAGGATTTAAATTCCATAGTTGTTCCGCTATAAAATCCATTGGGTTATACGTGGATTTATGGTACTAAAAAGATTATTTTGAAATTTTACATTGAATTATGCTTTATTTTTACCGTCATGCTCTTTGTTTCTTTTGCTTTTATAAACATTTTTTCTAAAATATCGAGGAGAATAATAAAAATTTCTTTATCTAAATAATCCACCCAACGATCTTAAATATAAATATAATCAATTAATTTTCAGTTATTTATAGGGTGCAACAGAAACTTTCTTTTCATTTCATTATATTGGTAATTGGAAATAATTTTGTAATTGGGCTCCTACCAAGAGCATCATCGAGGAATTGCTGCGCTCGCAAGGTATGGATCAAAGATTTTTGAATATATTGATAAGCTCAGGTAGTTTTTAAGTATGTTTATTAAGTATTTTGGTGTTGTTTGTAGATCAATATGATGAGAACCTCTGATTCGCAGCGTTGGCGGTGCTGGAAGATTTGAACTAACTGAATGGCAAAACGAAGATCGAACGACCCAACCCAACTCAATCCTTCCCAGTGTTGTTAAATACCTGAGTATTTATTTTCAAGGGAAAATTCCCTGGATATATACCCGGGGGTATTTACCCAAGATGGTATTTAGAGGTATTTATAAAATTTTATTTAAATTGAGTTGATGGCAGTTTTGCAATTACTTCGAGAATGGAGAGTCCATTATCGATACACCAAACTTATTTATAACATTTACAAGAATGCTACAATGACGGTAAAATTGCATGAAAGTACTGAATATCCATTGGGCGTGGGGTAAGAAAAGTCGATATAATGTTGAACCCAAATTGTTCATCACAGTCCTGGAGATTACGTTTAAACAACTGGATTGTACCCAAAAAGGTATAAACATTGATGGCAACACCTAGGTAATTTGCGCGGATGATATAGTCCTTATTTCGGATAGCCTTGGAGAGATGAAACTGATGTTGAACGTATACAGGAGGCATGTGCAAGAGTCGAGCTAAATATCAACAAAATTTAGGACAAATCTTGTTCCAAGGTTTAACATCAATATTGGTGATGATGAATACTTCTATCTTGAATACTTTCGATGGTATGTTATTAATTTCTGGTGCCTTTCCATGTTTTGACGCAGTGATTGCGTTTTGAACATCACTGATTGATATAGGTTCCATGACACTATCCTTTTTTTGGTGCGACGGACTGCTGTCTATTTCCAAATTAGTTTCTATGCTTAATAGGTTTTGGAAATAATTTTTCCAAATGTCATTTCAGTATCACATATTATTTTGTTCCATCTCAGCATATTGTCTTAGCTGTCTAACAAATTTATACACATTCTTGGTGTTATTAGCTTTAAAATGTACATATATTTCGGGAAAGTTTATATTTTCACTACCGACCATTTTCGTTTACGTAATACTCTTCGAAAATATTTAACGATTTCTTTAACGCTTGAAAAACAACTTTGAAAGTCCTGAATTAAGTATAAGTCTAATACTAATAACTAAATTCAGTTTTTGTGCTTCATTAATTCTTGTTGTTTGATTCTTTTCTAGTCATATTATTGCACTTCCATCAAATCCAAGATTCCAAGGTCCATGAGATTGTTGATTTTCAATTGAAAATTAAGTAGTTCTTTTATTCAGGTTGTAACCTGTTTTTTACGCATCATTTATGGTGTTTCATTAGAGCTGGAAATCCAACTTCCTGGTCTCCCGGGATCTCTTTCTAGCTAATCTTTGGTCTCTTGCTGTCTTAATCAGCCAGGTTTCTTCTGTTCTTTGAAAGTATTCATTAATTTTTTTTATTTTTCCCCTAGCAAATCTCATGACATCTCCGAATCCACAAAATTCTCTCAATTTTGTTCCTAACTCTATCTCTTCTTGTCTTTTCCACTATTGTTCTTAAAGTACTCATCTCAGTTGGTTCGCATCACAGCCATATATCTTGGCCATGAGGTTCGTGTATCGAGAGATGATAATCAAACTAGCGAAGTAAACAGAAGGATGATACTCGATATTCCTGTATATTTGAAAAGATATCATCATTGATCCTTCCTGATGAAGACATCCATAGTCCACGATGCGCCGTTAAAAAATATAAATGCAAGAAGGATGCACTGCCGAGGAGCTGTAAGAGGCAATCAAGAAAGTGTGAAGAAAGCTATTTTGTTGGTTAATGCAGTAGGAAAGAAAGTAACTTTCTTCTGTGTATAGTTTCAGATTTGGGATTGATAAAAGAGCTAATATTGCTAGAGAAAATTAACAGATACTTTTTAAGCAACTTTTGAATGTAACTAGAGGAAGTCTTTGTAAAGTTGGTGGCAACTTATTGAATACTTGTGGCACTAAATTTGACCTCTCTGGATATCTCACAGGCTATCGAGGGCCTGTAATATTATGAAAGAGTAAATCTTTGTTGCGCGTATTTTAATTGTAGAACTTTTTGCGTATAAAAATCAGAAAAATCAGGATATTTAGTCTTAAAAACCACGCTTTAAATTCTTCACTGTATTTCATGCTATCCAAAATGATAGCTTTGTGCTCTAGTTTGAAAACATAATAGTAGTACTCGCACCGTTCTAAGTAAGTAAGGCGTAGGTTATAAGAGTTTGGCAGATGAAAATATGATTGCATTTGGGACAGATTCTACCTCAGCGCTGTCAATATGAATGCTAGTTTTCTATTTTTGTTTATTATTCACCACATAGTCTTGTGTATGCGGTTTTTAAGGTACTCTATACATCAATATCCTCTGCACTTTGGATTCATGGGCCTTTCTTTTGTATCTTGCCCAAAGCCCATAATCTGACGTCTCGCGATGGGTCTATAACACTAGTGACTCTAGAAAACTTAGGATAAACGTTAGGATTATCAGTCGTAGCATCATTACGAAGATTTATAGGCATACTAAGACTTGTTTCGACAGCGGAAGTAGAAAAATTAATGTTCCTCCTGATAGGCCGATTCCATCTCGGAACACTATTCTTTTGTGAGTTTCAATAGTCCAAAGGGGGAAAATCTGTTCCTGTACTTATTTTATATTTATAGTACTGTTGGAAACACCAACACAGAGAAAATTGTAACCAATCCGACGACTAACACTGGGATTATACCAGCGTTGCTGATTGCCGTAAAACTCGCTTAAAAATTCGAGACAAAAGAGATGAGTCAATCTATCATACAAGACATCATATTTTCTCTGTTGTATTTAAGCCGAGGTTGCTTGCGACCGAGGCGCTATATTTAATAATATCTTGACACAAACCTTCGAGTATGCGCGCCAGATTTTATAACACGAGCGGGCACGTGTCATAAATTTTATGATATCAGGTCCGTATTATCCGTTAGGTCCGTTTGCAGAGGAAAAGTTTTGCTTGGAAAAAGGTGATGTGGTAATGCTAGTGCAATACTAGAACTAACACTAGACTGAGAACTAGAAACATTCGGATTTAGCCGCACGTCTCTCAAGACGGCTAAACCCGAATGATTCTAGTTGTAGGTCTAGTGTTAGTTCTAGTTTTAGTTCAATAAAAATATGCAACATAGTGGTTTCTTATGCTAACTAGCGCTACCTGCCATTGTCACTAGTTACAGTGCCGGCGCTAGCAACTGGAGCGCCAGGGTGCGGGAACCTGAGTGGCGCCCCCCTAGCGGAATTTTTGGGCGGAATGCGGGGGGGGGGACGCCCAAAATGTGGGGGAAAAATTAAAAAATGAATTTTAATTAAAAAAAAATATATAATCAAAGAAATATAAATAAACTTCAAAAAGACTGGAATAATCATAATCCATACTTCAGCAAAAATTTAAGAATTATACCGGTGAAAAACCAAACTTAAGGGAATAGTCGGGAATACTCTGGTCAGAAGGTTAATTTGCAAGAAAAAGTCTGAAATTGGAATAGTTATAAACTAGACTTCAGCAAAAAACCGGAATTACATTGTTCAAAGTCCCCATGAAGTCTGAAATTACTGTTCAGAAAACAAAAAATTGATTATAAACCAAACATGATTTTTCATGGCAATACTTATGTGTTCAATAAAAGAATGCGAAGAATATGAACAAGAAACCAATGGACTTGTCTTGTTATTGCACAGGACAGGAAATCACTAATACGGAAACTTTGCCAATGCAGGATAAACACAAAAGCAAAGTAACAGCTGCAGAAATGAGGTACCCGGTGGTACAAGATCCGTATAGATAATAAGAGGCTCCTAGAAAGATGATGATAGACACGCAGAAAGAAGTAGCTGTCAGTATCAAGAACAAAACATACATAACGTTGGCAGAAGACTAGATACTGCTTCTAAAAATCTAAATACTGCTTTCTGAAGACTAGATACTGCTATGGAAGATTAAATACTGCTTTCTGAATACTAGACTGCCGACAGGTCTAAATACAGCATCTGGAACACTAAATACTGCTTTCTAAAGACTAAAATTGCTTTGTGGAGACTAAATACTGCTTTCTGAAGACTAGATACTGCTGACAGGTCTAAGTACTGCAAAAGAAAGATAAGATATTGTTGGAGAAAACATACATAACGTTGGCAGAAGACTAGATACTGCTTCTAGAAGACTAAATACTGCTTTCTGAAGACTAGATACTTCCGAAAGGTCTAAATACTGCGTCTGGAACACTAAATACTGCCTTCTAAAGACTAAAATTGCTTTATAGAGACTAAATACTGCTTTCTGAAGATTAGATACTGCTAACAGGTCTAAATACTGTAAAACAAAGATAAAATATTTTGGAGAAAACATACATAATTTTGGCAGAAGACTAGATACTGCTTTCTGAAGACTAGATACTGCCGACAGGTCTAAATACAGCGTCTGAAACACTAAATACTGCTTTCTAAAAACTAAAATTGCTTTGTGGAGACTAAAGACTGCTTTCTGAAGACTAAATAAGGCTAAATAAGGCTAAATACTGCAAAAGAAAGATAAGATATTGTTGGAGAAAACATTAAAAAAGCGCCGGCGCCCCCTTTTAAGCGGCGCTCGGGTGCAGTGCACCCCTTGCACCCCCCGGTAGCTCCGCCTCTGACTAGTTAGATAGATAGTACTAGTGCAATATTAGAACTAATATTAGACCGAGAACTAGAAACATTCACATTTACGGCCGTTAAACCCTTTCAAATGCATAATATAAGGAGATATATGACAGCGCGCCCGCTCGAAGGTTAATGAAGACAGAAATATTACTGTCTTGGTATTGCAATTGCTAGCATATTAACACAAAATTCATTACCTATATTGACAACGAAATACTGAAAATGAAATTATCAGAAAAGAGAAAGAAAGTTTCTTTATCGCACCTACTTTATATTATTTACTCTTTAATAATTCACAATCATCTTGTTTTGATCGGAGATATTTTTGCATTTTCTCTTGTTGATCTTTAAACTCTTTTTGTATCTGTTCAAGGATTACCACATCGTTTTTTGGTTCTTCATCACTTTCCCATGTATCTTCATCAGATTCAATACTCTCTTGCATAAACCTTGCAGGCCGCGTTGTTGTAAAACAAGGCATTTTTTTGAGCATGTTTCTTTTAATATAGTTTTATCTAACTTTTAACGATACTTTGACAAATAATGCCAAAATTGAATTAAAATTAATAAATTGGTTAACTAGATCGTTTAAATTCTTAATTTATTATAAATAATTAAATTTATAAATAATGTACAAAAATATTAAAGCTACAAACTAAGAGAAACAAGAATGATTTAAAACTGTTGTGTAACGTGTTTTATCCAATCTAGATAATGAGCAACTTTAACATAAACTCCTGGTACACCGACTTGTCCACATCCAATTCCCCAACTAACAACACCAACAACCTTCCAAGATCCGTTTCTTTCGCACACCATCGGACCACCTCCGTCACCTTTACATGCGTCTTTACCTTCTTCCCCACCAGCGCAAACAAATCCAGGGTGGAGTTTGAATCCGTAACCTAATCGAGTATTTTGTAGTTGTCTTTGACATTGATCGTGTCCAACAATTGGTACGTCGACTTCTTTTAAGATATTTTGGTACTTTCCGAAATCACCAAAAGCGTCTTTTCCCCATCCGGTAGTCCAACATCTCGTTCCGGTAAAGTCTTCGTATGGAGATGGGAGACAAGCGGGGCTAATATGAGGGTGCTTTGCGAAATCGACGAATTTGTCCATTCGAAGAATTGCGAGATCATTGTAAAGAGTTCCAGCATAAAATTCGGGATGAACAACGACATTTTGAACATCTCTTTCGATATAAGGGAAGAATTCAACGTCGTGATTTACATCCCATTCACCAAGACGTATTCTAAGATCATATGCGGAATATCTAGATAAGAAAAGGGGGTTAATACGATTTTAATTAAGTTATTTTAAGTTAACTTACTGTTTAATGCAATGAGCTGCTGTTATGATGTGTAAATGATCGATGAGGGTTCCACCGCAAACGAAAACGCTTTCTTTGGGGTCTTTCTTTAAAATGGCAACTTGCCAAGGATATTCGCCGAATTCGCTATCTCCATCGACGTAAATAGGATTTTTAATTCTTCCTGTGATTCCTTGTCCGTTTCTGGTTCCGCATTGGCGTTGGGTTGGAGTTGGGATGTTTGGGCGAAGAGGTCTTCGGCAACAAACGTGTCTTGGCCCGCAAGTTTGTGGGCGACCAAATCCGTTTCCGAAATAACTTTGCCTCTGATTAAAATAAATTGAATTAATATGAATCAAAAAAAATTAATAAAAAAGAATGATTTAAACTTTGGATGTTGTTGTTATATGTTTCTTTGTATGTTGTTACCTTATCAATACTTCTTTGAGATGTTTCATTGAAATTTTTGTTTTCAACACTTCTTCGTTTTCTGTCATTTGGAAATTTAACTTTTGAGTCATCCAAATTTTTTCCCGCTCTACTGGCCGGGTTGCCATAAGAATCTTTTAATCCAACCCCAAAATCACTTAAATCTCTCGCGTATCCGTTATTATCATTTTCGTATTTATTTTGGTATTGATCAAAAATGCTTTGACTTTGAGTGTTATCGTTATTTCTTCCGTAAAATTCGTCACCAAAGCCGGTGTATTCACCAATATCATCGATGTATTGTGGTTTATGGTGGTGTTGATGATAATGTTGTACTTGAGGAGGAGGAGCATGATTCACGTAGTGATGTGGTGGATGATCTAAATAAGGACCGTTGTATTCATGAATTGGAGGATGAATTTGTGGGCGTCCATAATGAGGTCCGTTGTAATAATTTGGCCCGTAAGGTTTGTAATGGTGATAATGTTCGTGTTGATTAAAAATTAATCCTTTTTTGTATGCTAAGAAGTCTTGGACTTTATTAACTAAGTGATTGTTTGGGGTTACGTGGAGATTTACGAAAGGTTTTAAAACTTTTTCGCCATAATCGTTCTTGGTGACTTGAAGGGCAACCAAAGGGTTTACTGAAACTAATCCTAAGTTGATACCGTTTCCTCCCCCTTGAGGATTTCCTAAGTATGGTGGGTAATGCGGGTATGGATATGGTTGATGGTCGTACTGATTGGGAAGGCCAAAGGAGACTCCGAACGTGGGCTTTATGTTCTTTGTGATATCACCCAGTTCGCGCTGGAAGATAATTTTTTGGAGTTAATTCATGGAACAATTAATCCCCCACTCTTTATTATTTTAGTCAATTTTAGTTCTCTTCGTGCGTAGTTTTTAAAAAAACAACATTAACATATAACAACAACCTCCTAAATTAAAACATTTCTTTGAATTTGTTATTGTTAATATTGTTAGTTTTTGAATTAATCAACAAAGAAATTTTTTTAAAATCTAATAATTACTTACTCCTTCCGCCGTTTTAGCACCTTCATCACTCTTCTTTTCAACTTCCCTCTTCGTCCTTGTTTCTTTGCCTCCATTCGTACTATTTAGAGCTGGCGTCCCTTTAGGTACTCGAATAACCGTCATGTTTCCGTTTGCATCGGTTAAAACTCTTTCTTCCGTTTCAACGGGTTCGGCTTTAATATCGCTTTTAAGACTTCGCGGATCTAAAGCGAGGAGGAGGTCGTCTTTTCTTCCTATGATTTCGTGCGATGGGCATTGATCGAATGGGACGCACACGCAATCGAAGTTTTCGGCACGAGCAGATTCGAATCCTTGGTATTTATCGTCGTTGGAGATGCTGTTCGATTGGAAGGTGTTTGTGTTAAGCTCTTTTTTGTAAAATTGGGAGTTGGAGCTTCCATATTGACCCACGGTTGAACCGATGGAATTTGTGTATAAAGATGAACCCCCAAATGTTTGTGGACTTAAACTGTGAATTCCTGATGGTTTTGTTGTGAATGATCCCAAACCCCCTGAGCCATAATTTGCGATTGATTGACCTCCATAACTGTTTCCTCCGTTAAAGAGACTTCCAGATGATGGGTTTAAAGAGTTTGAGCCATAATTATTGGCACCGTTAAAAAGATGTCCTGATGGATTTAAAGAAGCAAAAGTGCCAGCCCCAGCTAAATTAGCTACGTTTCCTCCTAAATGCGAAGATGAAAACGAATTACTTCCTCCAAAACTTGAGCTTTCAAACCCAGCGCTTGAAGATAACAAAGTACTTGGTTTAAAGTTGTTGTCTTTTTCGATTAAAGCAGCCCCAACGCTCTCACTGACTAAAGGAATTGTTGCAATAGGAACTTTTCCTCCAACTCCATTTTCGGCGTGATGGAAATGATGGTGAACGTGTTGTTGCACTCCTGCACCTGTAGCAGAACCTCCTTGAGCATTTACGATAACTTCAACGGGCTTTTTCTCTTTATGGAACGATCCATGCTCAATTTCGTATGGGAATTCACCACTAATTGGTGGTTTAGAATACAAGATTTCTGAAGAATCAAACGAAGATGATCCGGAAGAAATAAAAGTTTTATCAAAGTATGGTTTTGGGGGTGGCGATAATTGTGGACCATATCCTTTACGAGGTGGACCATGAATTGGTGGTCCATTAAAAGGTGGGCCATGAATTGATGGTCCATTAAACGGTGGTCCATGAATTGGTCTATTTGGGTATGGACCAAGTTTAGGTGGGAAAGGAACTGGTTTCGGTGGTCCATATCCTTGCCCTCTCCCTGGCGATTTAAGAGGAATCGTTGGAATTGGACGCCCAACCGGATTAATCGCAACGGGTTGAGCATAAACCAAATCTTCAGGAGCAATATAAGGACGCTTACCATCACACTACAACCAAAATAATCATCAAATAAACTCAAAAACACCCCCCAAAAAAATAAACATACCTGCATCAACCCCAAACTACACAATTTATCTCGAATTACATTTCTTGCTTCGCTATCATCACCACTTTGAATAGCCTCTTGTAAACTAGGATCGCTGTAAACTTCATCGAATTCTTTCAAGTTTCTTCCTTCCCGTGAAGAGCTTAAAATCGCATCGACGACTTCATCGACATTAGTAACGTTGTAATTTGATTCTTCGATGTTCTCCGAAGGCTCAGCTAATAAATCTTCACCAGTTAACAACAACGATTGTTTCTCCCCTTCCTTATTATCCCACGACCACGATTGTTGTTTATCTTCGCACGAAGAAAGCGCGAAAAGCGCTAAAATAAACACCCCAATCTTCATCTTTCTAAACAACAAAAAAAAATTAATTCTTAATCGTTTCAAAATGAAATATGTGACGAAATTATAAGTGAAAGTGAGAGTGAAATTTCTAAATATTATTTTTATTTGACGTTGAACGTTCGAGTTAAAAGAGGTCGTAAGACACTTTCTTCTGCTTTCTTTGTATGCTAATCATGCAAAAACAACATCTTATCATATTATGTAGGCGTTGATTTTGGAGTTACGTAATTGGGTGGCTTTCGAATTTTTCTTTTCGTGTTTGAAAGTTTGTTGATGTCATCTAGTTGGTGTTTATGTCGGTGAAATTAGGAGATCAACCGTGAAGAACGTAATACTTCGAAATGTTAATGAACTCCCTGGGAGAAAGAACCTTGGCCTTACAAAGTGCAAGTGAGAAAGAGAATGTGAATACTTTCACTGGAATCGTATTGTTGTATCTCCTCCAACAGAGAATAAGCAAAAATAGGTCTAGTTTGAATTTAACGAGACGAAGAAAGGAAAGTTACTTATTCTTAAACTTTTTTTCTTTTGATGATTAACAAAAATTATGAATAAAATTTTAATAAATGAAATTTGATTAATTTTGATTTCTTACATTTTTAATCCTTATTCAAAACACTTTTTGACACACCAGAATGAAAAATTGGATCCACTCAAAACGCGTATCTCTTTTATATCAGGCTTGATGATTCCACCACTAAATCCACAACGTGTGGGATTAGGTTTCACACTTTCTCTGCTTTAACGTTGCACTCACTGATGTCTGTACAATTCAACTTTCGTTTATATATTACTGGTAGTTTGGGGCAGAGCAGAGGGATGCAGATTTTGGTGGAAGGGCGACCAGGATCTGATTTTCCAGTGGTTGAGAAATGGTTATTTTCGATGAATTACGTGTCATGTTAGATAAGTTACAAAATTCATTGATTACTTTTTATTTTTACGAATTTACTTTTCTTAGTTATCTTACACCATAAGAATTTATTGTAATTCATTCATTTATAATTTTTTCAGGACAACTTTTACATTTTATTATTGATTGTTATATATCATATCTTTATCTCTAAAAATAAAGCTTGTACACTTTTTGGAAATTGCTCGATTTTCACTCAAAATCATATTTTTCTCTCAAATCATCATCCTCAATTATATTCTTTTCTGGACTATCTGTAAGTTATATTACTAATTATTATATATCAGTATAAAGAACAAGATCTTATCTTTAAAACGATGGAACAACCACGTCTTTATCGCAATTAATAAAGTTAGAATTTGAAAGAACCATATCTTTATCTCTAAAAATAAAGTTTGTACGATTTTTTTAAATTTCTCGATTTTTACTCAAATTCACAGTTTTCTCTTAAATTCATCATCTCAACTTATAATTTTTTCTGGGCAATTTTTAAACAATATTATTGATTATTATATATCACCTAAAGAACAACATTTTATCTTTGAAATGATGAAATAATTAGATCTCTATTTCTATAGGTACAGCTAATAGAATTTTCCAAAAATCTTACGATTTTAGCATCAAGCAGTGTTAGATTTAAAAAATCATAATAATGAGATTTATGGAAAATAAGAAATTATTTATGGCACATTAAATCTTCATTAAATTCGCTTTAAAATGCTTCTTATTTCATGATCATATCGTACTTAGTTTTTGAGATACGATTTTTTTAATTCGATATTCCCCATTTAACTTTTACAACTACCAAAAACCAGAGTTAAATAAAAAAAATCATTGCAAACAAATTGAGAAAAACAGAAAATTTACATTTATAACATTAAAACTAGATTAAATTTCCTTTAAAATGTCTTATATTTTATTACAATATCTCAACTAGTTCTTGAGATATATTTTTTTTTAATTTGTGTTTTTATAAGCATAACATGAAACAGGTAGGGTTGGATTTAAAAAATCATAACATCGAGGTTTATGGAAAATAAGAAATTATTTATTTCACATTAAATCTTCATTAAATTTGCTTTAAAATGCTTCTTATTTCATGATGATATCTTACTTAGTTTTTGAGATATGATTTCTTTAATTCGATGTTCCCCGTTTAATTTTTATAACAATTAGTACGCAGAGTTGAATAAAAAAAATCATTGCAAACAAATTAAGGGAAATTGAAAATTTATATTTATAACATTAAAACTAGACTAAATTTGCTTTAAAATGTCTTATATTTCATTACGATATCTCAACTAGTTCTTGAGATATAAATTTTTTAAATTTATACTTTTATAAACATACGAAACAAACAGTGATGGATATAAAAAATCGTAACAATGAGATTTATGGAAAATAAGAAATTATTTATTGCACACTAAATCTTCATTAAATTCGTTTTAAAATACTTCTTATTTCTTGATGATATCTTACTTAGTTTTTGAGATACGATTTTTTTAATTCGATCTTTCCCATTTAACTTTTACAACTACCAATAAGCAGAGTTAAATCAAAAAAATCATTGCAAACAAATTAAGAAAAATAACAGCTTTATATTTATAACATTAAAACATTTCATTATGATTTTCAAATTTTGTAAATATAAATTCTTCGAAATTAATTCAAAATCTGTGTCGCTGAGGATTGAATAAAAAATTAATTGCATAATGCCAAAAACCCAACAGTCTTGACTTCATTCCTCAAGGTTGGGGAATACCTATACTTGAAGATATGCCAAAATAATAATCGCCTGACCTAAATTTGCTTTTCGCCCACTAACATAATCGTACATAAACCGAGAAGAAGAAATTCTAACACAAGAAAAGAAATTCTAACAAGACTTATTTTTATTTTGATTCTTAACCCATCAACTTGATGAATCATTACTTTCTCTTAACGTCTTTTTGAATTAGCATTCCATCAATACACGAAATTATCACGGTGACATAACACTTTATATCTTTGTTTTGTTTCTTCTTCTTCGAATTCTTCTTTTTATCACTCATTTTCCTTGGTGGGGTCGTTGACTTAGAAGAATTTCTCTTCTCTGCGCTTAGTATCCGAACGAGAAGCGACCGCCGTGTCTGGTTTTTGAGCAATTCGATTGCACCCCGGGATTCCCGACCTCAAAGCGGATCTGTTCTGAGCTTTCACTTTCATTGCGTGCTTCACATTAAACTTATTTTTCGTTACATAACCGTTAAAGTGTTACTTTGGAAAAACCTGTTAATAATAAGTTTTTTAGAAAATTTATAATGGATTAGGATGAAATTGGTTTTCTTTGAAAAGAAAAATTTTAATAAATTTGGTGGCCCACCAAGACTTTCGGCTGATTCAACAGAAAGATCCGGGAGAAAGTAATAGGTTGGCGGGCGATGTGCTCATCTGAGCAGAATGAAAAGAAATGCGAAAAGTTAACATCTCTTAAATGAGTTGGGAATAATTAGGAGTTTTGTTAACAATGTTATTGTGGAATTAACTTTCTAATGAGACACAATATTCTGTTTTGTAACTTTGAAAAATATCATCATCAACAGTTATAGATTCAAATAAAGCTTGTTCCATCTCTTGTTTAGATCTAGTACTCAAACAATTTTTAATCAACAAAATAGTTTTCTTTTTTAAAATCTACAACAAAATTTATTTAACTTAAAATAAATTCTTGGTTCGGCTTTTATTTCAGAGAGGGCACCTCATATTTCGAAGTGTTAACTTAGCTGCATCCTGTAAATCCCCTGTAGATAAATCAATTTATTATAGTTCATTATTAATTAAGAAAAGGGTTTCTATTTTATTAATTATAATTAACTTTGTGATGAAAAGACGAAGTAATTAAATACTTCTTTTCAATGTTGTCTGCGACGTCAGTGTTCGCATAAAAAGACTGAACCAAATCGGTCGCTTTTTGTGGTCACGGCCTTGTGACTCCACCCAAAGTCGCGTGTTCCTCGTGATCTTGATCTTTAAAAGTGTCCGGGCGAGGACTCAAGAATTAATAAAAAAAATACGATGTGAAAAGAGGCTGTTCTAAATTATTAATAACTTAGTTATGAAAAAAATTGTTGTTTTTGCAAATTCTAGTACTTGAAGAAATTAAGGTTGTTTGAACGATGTGTTTAGGGTCTTAAATGTCACGATAATGAAAGGAAAAATTTTACCTTAAACTGGTATCGGACTGGATTTCGAATCGAGTTTAAGGTAACAAAGTGGGCGGATCCCATGAGTATAAAAGATTGATAGCCGAAAATCTTAACCATAGTTCAAGTCGAATAACCAAACCGACACACAGACCTACAACAAAATGTTCAAATTGGTGGTGTTGTCCGCATGTCTGGCTCTTGCCTGTGGTGCCCCTAGCTTGGTGCATCACGCCCCAGTAGCCGTTGCATATTCAACCCCAATTGTTAAATCAACCGTAATCGAATCAGTTCCATCTTCAATTAGCCACCACAGCAGTTCGGTTGTTCATGGTGCCGCTATCGCCACTCCAGTCATCACTCCAGTCGTCAAAGCTGTAGAAACTGTGGTACCAATCGCGAAAACTGAAGTAGTTGGCAGTGTGTCTTCAATCAGCCACCACAGCAGCTCTGTGATTCACGGAGCCGCCGTAGCAGCCCCAGTTGTTGCCGAAGTTAAAGCCGCTCCAGTTGTTGCCGAAGTCAAAGCCGCTCCAGTTGTTGCCGAAGTCAAAGCCGCTCCAGTTGTTGCCGAAGTCAAAACTGCTTCAGTCGCTGAAGTTAAAGCTGCCCCCGTTGTAATCGACGTCAAATCTGGTTCCGAAGAAAAATCAGTTGAAGCTCATCCGGTAGTTCCAGCTGTAGTTGCAACCAAAACTGTTGTAGAATCTGCACCATCCTCAATCAGCCATCATTCTAGCTCTGTCGTACATGGTCACGCCATCGCTGCTCCAATTGTTAAAACTTACGTTCAACCAGCTCATGTTGCTGTAGCTCATCCAGCTCCAATTGTTAAAACTTACGTTCAACCAGCTCATGTTGCTGTAGCTCATCCAGCTCCAATTGTAGCTCATCCAGCTCAAATTGTAGCTCATCCAGCTCCAATTGTAGCTCACCCAGCTCCAATTGTAGCTCATAGAGCTGCTGTTGTAGCACATGCAACTCCCGTTTTAGCACATACTGCTTATGCAGCTCCAGTAGTAGCCCACCCGTGGTAAATTTTTAAAATAATATAAATTCGATCTGTACTGATACAAAAATAAAAAAAAAACAATAAACATGATTTTTAATTTTAATTCTCCCAAACAAAATAAAATAAATAAATCAATAACAATTTTTGCATTCCTGCATTGCAAATTTGATTATAAAGAAAGAATTGATTATGTAAAAATGTCATTAATTAAAGAATGGATGCAAATAAGGTTTACTTGAATGCAGATTTCATTCATATATCCGGTTTGTTGGTTAGTTAGGTGATATTTCTATATTTCTCCTGATTACCTTGTGACATTTTTCTATGTAAATCGTCGGGTAAAAGTAACGCGGGTAAGTTGATATCAAGTGGTAATGTGATGCAAAAATGTGTCACGTTGCATGTTGACATTGAGGACCACTGGTGGTCGGTATATAAGGAGAAAAGTCCCAAGTTCCTCTATTAGAGTTCTCTTCAACACTCGCACTCCGAAAACCGGGACATAAAATGTTCAAACTTGCCGTATTCGCCGTTTTAGTGGCCGTGGCAGTAGCCAGGCCGAGTCTAGTTCACGGACCTGCCATCGCAGCAGCCCCCGCTGTTATTGCCACACCCACAGTTGTTGGACATTCGACTTCCGTTAGCCACCAAAGCAGTTCCGTAGTGCATAGTGCTGCTGTCGCTGCTTCAGCCGTAGTTGCAGCCCCAGCTGTTGTCGCCGCCCCTGTAGTTGCTGTTGCTCCAGCTCATGGTTTAGTACCAGCCCCCGCTCAAGCTTCTGCCGTTGCTTCAGCGAGTGTCGTTGGATCCAGTGCTGTAGCTCATAGTGCTGTCGTGGGAGCACCCGTTCTTGCTGCAGCACCCGCAGTTGTTGCTGTAGGTCATGGACTTGGTCATTATTAGATTAATGAGAAAAATGTTGTAATTTTTAGAGTTTATTCGGATTTATTGCTCTAATTTTTTTGTTATAATTTTGATGTAAGTATGTGTAAATAAAAAATTGTAATAATAAATTGATGTTTAATTTAAATCTAATACCATATTTAATTAATATTATGAACAAATATATGATGTACAGAATTTTTTTTTATGTTGTCGAAAAAATTAAATTTACAGTTTCCTGTAAATTACGGTACTATAACTACAAATTAAAAAAAAACAAATTTCTCCAATCCAAAACAATGCAATCCATTAAATATTTCCGTATTAACAGTTGGTGTAATAAACATAATTATTTGTTTTTAAATACCAGAATAATAATACCACGGAATTTAAATACCGCCTCGTAATTTACAGGAAACTGTAAATTTCATTTCTTCGACGACACTAGATTTCGGCGGCGTTTAAAAATTTTATAAAAAAAGTTTATTTTTAAATTTATTCTAAAACAATAAGAAATAGACCTGTCGAACCCTATATTTTTGTAATCAGAAAGAAATAACGAATTTAATAAGCAAATAATCATTTAAAAAAACGAAAATTGTCATAATATCTCAAAATCTAAAGCCGAAAAATTTTTTTGACTACGTCATTAAATTCTCTATAAAAAACTGTCCATATAATGTCTTAGTTATAATACTCCACCTATAATAATAACCAAGATAATTGCACTTGCTGGTTTTACGATATTTTCAATTTTAGCCTCTAGGAGAAAAACAAAAGACGATAGCGATTTGAGGTTTTCGACATTGGAATTTATTTAAAAAAAGAGATCGAGACATGTAAGCTACTTTTTTTCTAACTCTTATAGTTTCCGAAATAGCCTATTCAGACATCGAATTTGAACCATCCTGTATAATATAAAAAAAAAATGGAGCTGTAAAGTCAGTAATGAATTGAACGACAAAGAAACATAGATAATTTTGTGCAGATGATAGATTACAACAGGTTCTTTGAGCAAAAATAATGCAAAGAAAGTGCAGAAAAAGTATTTATCTTAGTTTATGCAAAAGTGGAACATAATCTTTGAAAATTTAGTCAAAAGACTAAAATTTGAGGATAGGAATAAAAGGCAAAATTGAATAAAATATCAGTGTTTGGCAATTTTGGCATAATATTGGAAAGAGATGGAATATGAATTGGTGGAGAGATGAAGAGCAGTGATAATGAATGAGAGCAGCAACGGAGAATGCATGTGGAGAAGAGTAAATGTATTTAAAATATTACATGAGTATACCAGTTGATAGAGAGGTAAAGGGGAATATGCTGTCGTCAGGAAATACTGCATTTAGTTGCAAAAATGAGGAACGGGATAAATAGTTGTTGAGTAAAAGACAACGAAAGGATGTAAGAGTGTATTAAAATAGATGAGAGTCATTAGCACACAGTACTTTAGTACAGAACAGTAATTTTAGTACAGAACAGTAATTTTAGTACAGAAAGTTGCTGGATGAGGGGAAATAATGTCAAATTGTGTCAAAAACTGTAACAAGTCTCAAAAAGTATCAATAAATCTTGGCAATAAACAACAATAAGGTTGAAATGGTAAAAACTGTCAAATAGTGTTACAATATATCAATAAAAACAATAAATCTGTCTAAGGGAGGAAAAAGTTGTCAAAAATATTAAAAGATATCAGATAGTTCTAAAGAGTATTAAAAATTGCTTTAAAAAATTATCAACAAGTTTAAACAAAAAAAGAAAAAAGTGTTAAACGGTGCTACAATGTGGAAAAATTGTGACAATGTATTTAAACAATATCTGATTAAAGGAGAAAGTGTCATAATGGTAAAATATTGCCGAAAGGTGCCTAAAAGTGTCAAGAAGGTACCAAAAAAGGAAAAAAAAAGATGTCGAAAGAGTGACAACATGTTAAAACGTTTCAAAAAGTTTGCAAACATGTTATTTTAATGCATCATTTTAATATGTCGGGTAACCACAATTTAATAAGTACAGTAAAACCTCAATATAACGAATTAATATGGGGAAGGGAGGTTAGTTATAGACTACGAAATTGTTGGCAGCATGATCTACTGTATATGGAAGCTTGTAACCTTTGTTATAGACCGCCCACTTGTTGGCAGCATGAGCTATTGTATCACCTAACTTCTATTCTATATCGTAGAGCCTGCCAACTTGTTGGCAGCATGAGCTATTGTAGCTCAGAACTTCTGTTTTATATCGTAAAGCTTGCCAACTTGTTAGCAATATGAGCTACTACATCTGGATGTTTGTAACGTGTCTCATAAGCTGCTAACTTGTTGGCAGCATGAGCTGTTGTATCACATAACTTCTATTTTATGCCGTAGAGCCTGCCAACTTGTTGATAGTATTAGCTATTCTACCACAGAATTTCTATTCTACATCGTAGAGCTTGCCAAGTTGTTGGCAGCATGAGGTACTTTATCTGGAAGCTTGTAGCATTGCTGATAGACTACCAACTTGTTGGCAGCATGAGCTATTGTATCTCAGAACTTCTGTTCCATATCGTAAAGCCTGCCAACTTGTTGGCAGCATGAGCTACTACATCTGGATGTTTGTAACGTGCCTTATAGGTTTCTAACTTGTTGGCAGCATAAGCTACTTCATCTCGATGTTTGTAACGTGTCTCATAAGCTGCCAACTTGTAGGCAGCATGAGCTGTTGTATCACATAACTTCTATTTTATGTCATAGAGCTTGCCAACTTGTTGACAGTATGAGCTATTCTACCACAGAACTTCTATTCTGCATAGTAGAGCTTGTCAAGTTGTTGGCAGCATGAGGTACTTTATCTGGCAGCTTGTAGCATTGCTTATAAACTGCCAACTTGTTGGCAGCATGAGCTATTGTATCTCAGAACTTCTGGTCCATATCGTAAAGCCTGCCAACTTGTTGGCAGCATGAGCTACTACATCTGGATGTTTGTAACGTGCCTTATAGGTTTCTGACTTGTTGGTAGCATGAGCTACTACATCTCGATGTTTGTAATGTGTCTCATAAGCTGCCAATTTGTAGGCAGCATGAGCTGTTGTATCACATAACTTCTATTTTATGTCGTAGAGCCTGCTAACTTGTTGACAGTATGAGCTATTCTACCACAGAACTTCTATTCTACATAGTAGAGCTTGTCAAGTTGTTGGCAGCATGAGGTACTTTATCTGGCAGCTTGTAGCATTGTTTATAAACTGCCAACTTGTTGGCAGCATGAGCTATTGTATCTCAGAACTTCTGGTCCATATCGTAAAGCTACTACATCTCGATGTTTGTAACGTGTCTCATAAGCTGCCAATTTGTAGGCAGCATGAGCTGTTGTATCACATAACTTCTATTTTATGTCGTAGAGCCTGCTAACTTGTTGACAGTATGAGCTATTCTACCACAGAACTTCTATTCTACATAGTAGAGCTTGTCAAGTTGTTGGCAGCATGAGGTACTTTATCTGGCAGCTTGTAGCATTGTTTATAAACTGCCAACTTGTTGGCAGCATGAGCTATTGTATCTCAGAACTTCTGGTCCATATCGTAAAGCTACTACATCTCGATGTTTGTAACGTGTCTCATAAGCTGCCAATTTGTAGGCAGCATGAGCTGTTGTATCACATAACTTCTATTTTATGTCGTAGAGCCTGCCAACTTGTTGACAGTATGAGCTATTCTACCACAGAATTTCTATTCTACATAGTAGAGCTTGTCAAGTTGTTGGCAGCATTAGGTACTTCATCTGGCAGGTTGTAGCATTGCTTATAAACTGCCAACTTGTTGGCAGCATGAGCTATTGTATTTCAGAACTTCTGGTCTATATCGTAAAGCCTGCCAACTTGTTGGCAGCATGAGCTACTACATCTGGATGTTTGTAACGTGCCTTATAGGTTGCTACCTTGTTGGCAGCATTAGTGAAAGTAAAAATTTACAGATGTAATAGATCTGTAAGTTTGTAACTTTCCTTATAGACTACCTAATTAACTGTATGCTTTTTTTAATGGAAAAAAAGTTGTTAAATTTGTTGAAGGGTACCAAACGATGTCAAAAAGTATCAGATTTTGTTAAAAACTGTCAAAAAGTGTCCAAGAAAGTTTAAAAAAGTACTTGCTAATGGGAGAATGTGTCAAAAAGTGTCAAAATTTGTCAATTAGGTTATAGAAAGTTGTTCAAAGGGGTCAAAAATATCAGAAAGAACAAAAAATATATCAAGGTTGTCAAAATATGTCTTATAATATCAAGAAAAGGTTACAAGCTGTTAAAACGTTGCAAATACCATGTCAAAATGTCATATTACGTAAACGAAAGTTTTTAAATCGGTTAAAGAGTATTGAAAGTTGACGAAAATTGTTATTACAAAATGCCAAAAAGTGTCAAAAAAATATCTGCTAATGGAAAAGTGTCAAAAAATAACAAATCTTGTTAATAAGGTTGTTAAATATGATATATGCCGAAATATGTCAAAAAATTCTCAAATTTGTAACTAAAATAACCTTGTTTGTGATACGAAATAATTTTACGCAGGCTATTTTTGTATTTTTAGCAACACTTTGAACTTGTAGGTTGGGTTACCGATATTTGAACGATTCATATGTGTTTTAAACCTTTTTGCACGCAATGTTACAATTTAATTGAGTAAAATCAGTTCTTAGAATTACACTTTTCTCACAACAATTTCGAAAAAGCATAACAAAACACTTGGAGCGTATGTATTCATTAAAGATGTGAAATTAATAACACATCCACAACATAGTTAAGTGTTTTAACAATATTTTCGTCTTATTTGTAATTTTATAGAAAGTTTTCATTTTGATTCCGTAAAAAGAAATCTTATTGTTAGTAACGATCAAATTAAATATTCAGAGTGCGTAAAGTATCGATTACCATCAACGAATTCGCCGGAATCATTCGTCCATTTCAATATCAATTGCATTGACTGTAACAAAGCCAGTTATGCAACTGGTTGCGTATCGAAAAAAATGTATGCTATAATATATTCATAATGAGGAAGTTGAAATGTCACGAAGCCGCGCCGGTTTATCCAACACTCTAGAAAGACAGTTATTGTTAGTGTTACATGTTGTGTTTCTGCGCTTTATGGACGTTGCGAAACCGACATCGTTACCATTGTTAAGTGGTTTTTGTGAACTTGGATTAAACTATTAACGCGTTGTGCGTTGAAATGTAAAGTATCGTTCGTTTATTTATGTATCCGATTAAATTCGTTTTTTCTTTTTACGCGAATCATTAAGCTTTAGCCTCGTCGTTCGCAGGAAGTCGGCAAAAACCATCAGCAAGGTTGACACGAAGCAGGTCCATATATTTTGTAACCACTTTGCCCACCTTTTTCCTGGTGTCGCCATCGTAATTCAATTCAACTATAAAAGACCCGAACCTCGGTCGTAACGATACAGTTCAACGGACACATCCAGTACAAGAACAACAACAACACAGACCTCAAGATGTACAAATTGGTGGTGTTGGCCCTTTTCTTCGTTGCCGTCTCCGCAGCTCCAAGTCTTTTACATGCACCTCTGGCTTATTCTACGGTCGTAGGAAGCATTCCTACTTCAATCAGCCATCAAAGTAGTTCTGTAGTTCATAGTGCTGCTATTGCTGCTCCAGTTGTTCATGCCGCTCCTGTTGTTGCTACTTATGCTGCAGCACCTTTAATTAGTCATGCTCCTTTCGTTGCTGCTGGTGTACATCCGTGGTAAGGCGATGAAGAGGGAAAAAGAAGATTTATTGTTTTATAATAAATTATAATTCTTTTTTGTATTTTTGTATGAATTAATAATAAAAAGGTGTCTAAATTAATTTTATTGTTTTCATTTTATTTAAAATTTAAATCGAAACATATTAAACGGATTTTAATGTTACGATTAATCTTATTTATGGTATTAATTTAACATATTTAATTTATTAATTATGCAAGTTTAAAAGCCGCAATATTTTTTATTACAAAGTATACCGTGGTATTCAAAGCTCATTAACTTAATAATTGATCTTTAACATAAAGAATGCATTGACCAACCTATTAGACAGTTTCTAGTAACTGTTATTTATTTGTCGGCAATTCCAGTAAGAATAAAAAGGTATCCACGTGTACAAGATCCTTGTTCTGTTCGGGGTTAAAATTCTTTGTTCGTTTAAAATTAGATTTAAAAAAAAATTAGTTCAAATTTGTAATATTTGGTAATATCCTAAAAAAAAATTGGACGTTGTGATATTGGACGGAGTGTCCGTGACTTGGAGTGAGAGAACGGTGTGGCACTAAGGTAAAAGTAGGGGCGTTGTGTTGAGCAAGTTTATCACGAGATCCTCAAAGCGTGTTACGTATCAGCACCTGTCCTTTTCTTCGCCAATACGGCCGAGCGAGATGTTGGAAACCAATAATTTGCAGAGTGCCATTCGCCGGTGACGTATAAAAAGCGAAGTATTGGTGGCCAGTAGGTCAGTGTTTCTGTTGCCCACTTAAGAAGATCTTAGAAAAATGTCGAACATTTTCGGAATCATTTTCGTTCTTGCTTCAATTCTTTCAACGCTGGTTTCAGCCCAATTCATCTATATGGGAAGAATTTACCCCCCAAGTTTTGGTAGATCCAGCGATAGGGAAGCAACTCCAATCATTGAAGAAGGTACGGAACCTCCGGTGATGTTCCCAAGAGCTTTTAATAGCATCCAATTGGAACGTGTTAAAACAGTTCCAATGCCAGGGAGACAAATACCACAAAATCTACCTCAATTTCAACAAGATTTTCAAAATTTTCCACAACCTACGAGTTTTATAGGAAATAGTTTGGAATATCCGTATTTTAATGATCGATTTTAATTAATATTATTATTTATTATTAAAAAAATTCAAAAACGAGTTTTTGTTTCTATTTTACCCCAAATTTGTTTCTTATATTCTTAAAGTTTTCATAATTAAGCTGTTGAAATCGTAACTCTTTCTTTGCTATTCTTTTACACTCATTTATTAGGTAAGATTAAAATGTTGAAATACCCAAATTACATCTTTATTCCATTCATACCAAAATCTACAATGCGTCATTTAAAGGTCGTCATATTTCAAAATACATCACAAAATTATTAATGGATTGTCTTTTCTAGACTGAAACCTCGTCTAGAAAACCATTCTGGTTCGTGCAATATTTCGAATTACGTGTTTACTATTTTGTAAACTTTTAGATACGTGTATTTTATTTTGAAACAGAAAACGATTTCGTTAAAAGTAAAAAAGAACTTTAATTCATTATGTATTCGTGACGCACAAACTTTTCTGAACAAACAATGATTTTTTTTAACTTTATTCATTTTTAACATCAATAAATTATGTTAAAATTTATTTTTGATGCAGCGACATTATCTACGTGTACTTTGTCACGTACAAGAATTCTTGATCTCGTTCCGGAGGTGAGCCATTTTTGCAATGTCATAAATTCTTGGCTTTGGTAGTCGACCGCCACCAGATGGCATAACACCGCCACGCCTGGATTCTATTCGAAGTTATTCCGCGCATATAATACGCTATTACCTAAAATCAGCCAAGTGTATCAACGAGGCGATAGTAAACTGATCGCGTAGGCACCTCTACATGAATCACTTTCAATTTTTTAGTGAAACTTTATATGTATTCGGAAATAATGGGGAACAATTTAAAATAATAAATAGTGTTTTAGAAAATTTCTCGGTTATTACCCAATAAAATTATGAAAAAAAAAAAATTTGGCGATTTCGTTATTGTGACCATCATGGAAACGGTTTATAACAAGGTTGTTGCTTGTCCTCTTTGTGGAACGTGATTGTTGCAGTGAACTTGCACTTAATACCGACCGTAGAAAGTGGATCGAGCGTGTCTCGAATACGACATCAAACTAAACATGTACTGGCGCTTTGCCAGCACTCGATGATATAACAACGTCCAGACTGTAGGAATTTAATTAGGCAACATTAAAAAACCACAATAATTACAAAATTCCATATTATAAAGTAAAATAAAACTCCTTTGGGTATTTAGACTTGCTTTCCACGCCAAAAATGTTATTGAGTTTCCTAATTGTTTGAGATTCGATAATAAAGATGTACCAACCTTCGAAACCTTTAAAAACGTAAAAGGAGCGTAAAGAAAAAGATCGAGAAGAGTGTGCTACAAACTCAAAACATTCTTTTTTTATTCGTTTGTAATAACGTAATTAGATTCGGCTGAAGATGAGCTTGTAGCTCGAAACTAGTTCCGTTTAAATTAAACTTATAGCAAGTAAGAAGTTTTTATTTTCTTTCTTATGTTCTTTTTTTTTGATTGTATGAATTAAGTAGTGTAGTATATGTTTTTAGAACATCTTTAAGAATAATTAATATTTTTGTAAGGTAACAACTATGTAAAATATAATTTCCACGAGAACGTCGTGATGTTAATTAATACTATTTTGAAAAAAATATTAAAATATAAAGCGAAATATTAGGGGTTATAATTTTATTATTGTTAGGTTATCCAACTTGACTCGGTTACCATGGTGATTAAGATCCAAATATTGCAGGTGCTTGTCAAAATTGAAATTGAATTTAAGTTTTTTTAAGGAAAAAGTCTTTCTTTTAATTGGTTTAAAAGGCTGTATTTAACTCAAAATTGGTTTATCTAGGGTATTATAATCAAGGTAAGTGGATTAAATAAAAAAAAAATTTTTTTAATTAGGTTAGAATTGATAAAACAATCGGAATAAAATTTTATTATTTTAAGGTTATCCAACTTGACTCGGTTACCATGGTGATTAAAATCCAAATATTGCAGTTGCTTGTCAAAATTGACGTTGAATTTAAGTTTTTTTAATGAAAAACACATAATTAATTGGATTTAAAGGTTGTATTTAATTCAAAATGGGTAAATGAATGAAATTATAAGCAAGGTAAGTGGATTAAATCAAAAAAAAATTTTAGATCAATTAAAATGTACAAGAATTTAGGGTTAAATAACAATTAAAACTAGAACTAACACTAGACCTAGAACTAGAAAGTTTTAGGTTTAGCCGGGCGTCTTATACAAGAACTTAGAAAACTCTGAAGACGCACGGCTAAACCCGAATATTTCTAGTTCTAGGTCTAGTGTTAGTTCTAGTTTTATACTAGCACTATCACTAGAACTAACACAACCCCTAGAACTAAGAACAGTCGGGTTTAGTCGTGAAAAAGACTTTCAGTTGTCAATGTCAATTTTAATTTTATTATTATATTCGTAATCTTCATACAATAACCTTTAAAGTGAGTCCAAACTTGACGCATTTATCTCAAAAAACCAAAAAGTTCGAACTTTTAACTTTTAATTTTGACATATTTATCAAGTTCATAAAAAATCCTTCAAAATAAGTCCAAACTTGACATATCTAACTTTAATATTAATGGAAATACAATCACTTCCGGTTTGAAACGTCAACGTCAATTTTGACATATTTGTCATTTTCATTAAAAAACCTTTAAAATGAGTCCAAAGATGACGCACTTATCTCAAAACACAAAAAAGTTAGAATAAAAAACATTAAACCCGAAGATAGCAATTTAATTTTTAAATATTAATACGAACCTTAAATTTTAATTTTTTTTAATGTATTTTTGTTTTTGTGATACATTTTATAAAAATTAAGAATTTGTCAAAATTACATTGACATTTCAAATCGGAAGTTGCTTATATCTCGACTAATATTGGAATTAAACGTATCATGTTTGGGCTCATTTTAAAGGATTTTTCACGCAATTACAAATATGTCAAAACTGATGTTGACATTTGTAACTGAAAGTTGACCATAACTTCATTATGATAAATATGTCGTGTTTGTACTCATTTTAAAGGATTTTTAATGAAGATTTCAAATATGTTCAAATAAATTGAGGTTGACATTTTAAATCTGAAGTTAGTTATCATATAATAGACAAATGGACAACTTCATGGTGTTCTTTCATGATGTATTTTTTATTAAAAAAACCATTAAAATGAGTCCGAGCATGATGTTGTTAGATATCACTATGTTGTATATTTTTATTGCACTAAAACTAGAACTAACACTAGACTAGTTTCAGAGGTCAAGTTTCTAGTCTTCAGACGCACGGCTAAACCCGAATTTTTCTAGTCCTAGGTCTAGTGTTAGTTCTAGTTTTAATTGTTACTATACTCTGCTTTTAAACCAGGAGGAGTAAACGCGAAAGTCAGATTTACACTAGGAAAAATTACCAGAAAATATCACTAGATATTTTGGCGGTAAATTTAAATGAATAATTATTGTTATTTATTTATTTACTTATTATTGTATTTATTTTCGTTTGTTATCGTCAACACTAAACATACAAATTAACATTGAAGTTATGAGTGTATTTATTTCAAAATATAATAAAGAAGAGTTTAAGAACACAAAATATAAATACAATAATGACACGAAACTGTCGAATTGTCAATAACCTAACCTTCAAATTCAAAATCAAAATTGCCTGAGGTTGACCCTTCCTCGCATTTAACCAATCACGTACAAGGTCAATCTGGTGACAAATTTAAAATACTCCTCCTGGTTTAAAAACAGAGTATAAGCGTTAAAATGTTGTCTATTTTTACTGAAATAGAACTAACATTAGACCTAGAACTAGAATCATTCAGGTTTAGCCGCACGTCTCTAAAGACGGCTAAACCCGAGTGATTCTAGTTCTAGGTCTTGTGTTAGTTCTAGTGATAGTGCTAGTGTAAAACTAGAACTAACACTAGACCTAGAAATATTCAGGTTTAGCCGTGCGTATTCAGATTTTTTTAAGTTCTTGTCTAAGACGCCCGGCTAAACCTAAAACTTTCTAGTTCTAGGTATTATTTCTAGTTTAGGACTCATTTGGAGTTATTTAGTAATATTTAGTAATAAGTTGTAGTGGAGTTGGACTTCTCGGCGGTTTCTGATATTTTTTGGTCTACAGGGTGAGTCAGAAAGAATGGGAAATCCGAATATCGGAGACACTAGACACCAAAATATGACGATTTCACCTAACATGTCTTATACAAATGTCAGTGGTTTTCGAGGCAGTGGTTTTTTTTTTGAAAGTTAAATTCTTATTTCGAAATTTCTTGGTAATTTTGAAGGTTTTTGTACTATTAACATAAAATTTAGTAGTTAGATGTTTTCGAGCATGAGAAATACGAATTTGATATTTGCTTTGTGATTACTCGTAGAGGGCGCTAGATACACACTGTACGTTTGGGATATCAAGTCATGACTATTTTGGCAGTTGAGGTATGGTGAATTAGAACCAGAAATCTGAAGGAGTTTTCAATTCTGCACAAAAAAGGTACTCTTGCTTACATTGTCTAAGTCTACTGGTTTCCAAGTTATCTGCTTTTAATTGTTTCAAAGTAATTTTAAGGTTAACATTTAAAATTAATAACACATAGTAACTATAGCAATTAGTAACGATAATAATCGATAACAATAACAATTAATTAATAACAATAGAATATTGTGACCATTTTCAAAAATCCAGTGGACTTAAATCTGGATTTCTCACTATTAAAAAACTCATTATGTCGTGGCATTTTCAAATTGGTAATAACTTTATTGTTGGTAAAAATGATTATTGCACACGGAAATTAGTTCAATGTTGATGATTAACAGGCAATTGTCGAAACATAGGTTAATAATAAACACAACTTTGCTTATGTTAAAAAATAAATATTTTAGCAGAAAAAATACATTTAAACATTTAACAGTAAATAATTCGAAAACCGATAGACTTAGACAATTTCAATAAGAGTACCTTTCTTATGTAAAATTGAATGCTCTTTGTGATTTGCAGCTCTTATTGCTCGTAGCTGTCGAATTAAAAAAATTATGATTTGATTTATCAAACAAGCAGCGTGTATCTAGCGCCCTCTACGAGCAATAACAAAACAAGTTTCAAATTCGTATTTCTCATGCTCGAAATCATAAAACTACCAAATTTTATCTTAATAGTACAAAAACCTTCAAAATTATCAAGAAATTTCGAAATAAGAATTTAACTTTCCACACCCTATGCCTCGAAAACCACTGACATTTGTATAAGAGATGTTACGTTAAATCATCATATTTTGGTGTCTAGTATCTCCGGTATTCGGATTTCCCATTCTTTCTGACTCACCCTGTATAACACCCCAAATATCATCTTCAATAGTAAAAATATTTAGTAGTAGAAACAGTAGATGTAAAAGTTTGGTTGGTTGAGTTCAAGATTTCCGTTGATAAGTAGTCGTTTAGTTCATTTATTATCCACATTTGCGCATTGTTAGCGTTGCTTTCTGATCTAAATACTGATTTTTTATATCGTGGATCAAGAAAAGTAGCTTTTGCTGCTGTTCTATTAATCTCATAAACCCCAAGTCTCAAACATTATATTGTCTCGATATGTTGATAATTTCTAGTCAATGGCTTAAACTTTTTGGGATTGTATCCATCCACTCTGATAACTTCATTATAAATTGCGAGGGCAAAGGATGCGAGAAGAAATTGTTTGAAACTATTTATCATTTTATGTCCTCCTCATTTTTTTCAAACTTTTTGAACTTAATAATCTTTACGTAACTTTCGATACACACCAATATTATTCTTTTTAAACAAAGTGTACCACGAATTTAACTCTCGCTTAACTGGCTCCTATATTATATTAAAATTTAGTCATACTATTCATTTATTTTATTAAACGACTTCCTTTATTGCTTCATACTTAATCGATCCCGGATAAAGTCGCCTTGATTCGATCTCGTGTTACTGTTTTAACTTACCTAAACGCAAACGGCTTCGTTGGGCGTAGCCGTTTCGCAATTTGGTCATACCTGCGCATGAACTGCGACAAAGCGGTCTGTTTTGAAAAAAAAAAAAAACACAACCTACGTCCCTATCTATTCCCGGATAAAGATTATTGAAACGATACGACGACGTCGTGCGGTTTTATGGTTTCTTGTGGGCACCAGTAATGAGAACGACCTCTTTTGGAGATTATAAAGAGACTAGTTTTTCAATCTCCTTGATTACTCCATAAAGTCTTTGTTCAAAGAAATTGAATTTTTAGTCATTTTGATCTGAAGCATGATAACAAAGTCATCTAAATTATGTCTAAAATGTTATTATTTATTCGATATTATTAGATAAAGTTGTACAATTTCCTTTCAAGGGAATAATACACGTAACACCTTTACACATGGATAAAAAAAAATTTGAAAGTTTTATAAACCTTTAATTATAGAATACCGCATACGAAGGAATATGTAAATGACATGAACGTAGGTATAACTCGTGTATGAACGACACTTACTTCTTATTTTAACAAAATGACTCAGCAAATTAAATTTTAATAAAATAATCTAATTCAATTTACGCCTCTAAAAACAATCTAATATTTCTAAAAAATTGGGAGTGGCCGAGTTTAGATAGGCTTTTTTATCTCTTAAATTTTATCGGTTTACATCCGCCATCAAGCTAAATATCTTGTTACCAATTACACTGCGTCATCTACTTCCAATCACCACAAATCCACAATAAAACCTAGGCTATGCGTAGCAAGGTCGTATACCTAAGTCGCGGTGGTTCAAGTTCCGCGGTCGCATTGGTATAAAACCCGACGATTCCCATTCGAATTCATCAGTCAAACGACGCAAAGTGCCCAACACAGACCTACAAGAACACTAAATCTAAACAAAAATCAAAATGTTCAAATTGGTGGTGTTGTCTGCTCTTTTGGCCGTAGCCGCAGCTAAACCCAGTTATCTTCACGGAGCTGCTCTCTCATACGCCGCACCAGCTATTGCAGCTCCAGCTTATGCAGTTCCATCAGCAGTCAGTTATCAAGCTAGAACCGACGTTGTCAGCAAACCAATTGTAGCAACCGCTTATGCAGCTGCTCCAGTTGTTGCTCATGCCGCTCCCGTTGTTGCTGCAGCTCCAGTTGTTGCTGCCGCTCCAGCTGTCTCAATCCCAACCGCGGTTAGTTATCAAGCTAGAACCGACGTCGTCAGCAAACCAATTGTAGCTACCACTTATGCCGCTGCCGCCCCAGTTGTTGCTGCTTACGGAGGTTATGGTAGTTATGGAGGTTACGGAGCTTACGCTGCCCCAGTTGTGAAGTCTTATGGTTATGCTGCCCCCGCACTTGTTAAATCATACGGCCATTATTGGTAGAGAAGGCGGAGACTTTGCTGTTTGTTGACCTGATCGACTGAACGTGTTACCAGAAAATTCATTGCCTTTTGGAGAGTTTTTGTTCTAAATTCTCTTCTTATATATTTTTGTAGTTAGTTGTGTACAAAGTACATTGTTAAATTAATTTAAATAAATAAAATGTGATGATTCAACGAATCTTTATTTGTTTCCATTTCTGAATTAATAAAATTTACGCAAACAAAATAAACGAAAGGTTCGCACTTATTTAATCCTTTTTGAAAAAAATCAAAACGAAATTGCATATCAAGGCAAAAAAAAAAGTTTATAAAGTTTATATCGATAAAAAGAATTTATCGATGTGGTGAGAATATTTCAGTTACATATTACTTAACACCTTATATAGGATAGTTTGATGTATACAATGTCAGTTTCAAAGCTTTATTTCTATGAGAGGTTGCATAGTTACTATGTATGTTCTTTTCCTAAAGATTTGTTTAAAGCAAATTATATCCTCATCATTTTTGCAAAGTTTTTATTCTACACTCAGGTTTTTCAAAGAAGAATAGCACTTTCCAGACTGGAGAGACACTGGAAAAAGGAAGGAGTCTTAGCAGAGCGGAGGAAGACTTAAAAGTCACTGAAAAGACAAGAGCTATATTAAAAAGAGAGAAACTGGAATGAGGCTATAATAATAAGAAAAAAAATGCTATATAGGAATAAGACTGGGAGGGTGAAAGGGATAAGACTGCATACACAAGAAAGAGACTGAACAGAGATTGGAAACATGAAAAGAAGACTTGTAATAGAAGACAGAGGCTAATAAGTGAAGGTAAATATAGGGCAGAAAGGAGAAAGACTGAAAAGAGGCTATAAAAGCAAAAAAGGTATTGGATAGAGAGGAGGGAGACTGGAAAGAGACTGCTAAAAGAAGAAAGATACTGTACAGAGACTGAAAACCAAGAAAAGAGGCTGGGCAGAAATGAGGAGTCTTTAAAGGCAAGAAAGATGTTGGATATAGAGGAGGGAGACTGAAAACAGACTACTAATGGAAGAAAGAGACTGTACAGAGAATGCAAACCAAGAAAAGAGGCTGGGCAGAAATGAGGCAAGAATTAAAGGCAAGAAAGATGTTGGATATAGAGGAGGGAGACTGAAAACAGACTACTAATGGAAGAAAGAGACTGTACAGAGACTGCAAACCAAGAAAAGAGGCTGGGCAGAAATGAGGCAAGAATTAAAGGCAAGAAAGATGTTGGATATAGAGGAGGGAGACTGAAAACAGACTACTAATGGAAGAAAGAGACTGTACAGAGACTGCAAACCAAGAAAAGAGGCTGGGCAGAAATGAGGCAAGAATTAAAGGCAAGAAAGATGTTGGATATAGAGGAGGGAGACTGAAAACAGACTACTAATGGAAGAAAGAGACTGTACAGAGACTGCAAACCAAGAAAAGAGGCTGGGCAGAAATGAGGCAAGAATTAAAGGCAAGAAAGATGTTGGATATAGAGGAGGGAGACTGAAAACAGACTACTAATGGAAGAAAGAGACTGTACAGAGACTGCAAACCAAGAAAAGAGGCTGTGCAAAAATGAGGCAAGAATTAAAGGCAAGAAAGATGTTGGATATAGAGGAGGGAGACTGTAAACAGACTACTAATGGAAGAAAGAGACTGTACAGAGACTGCAAACCAAGAAAAGAGGATGAGCAGAAATGAGGCAAGAATTAAAGGCAAGAAAGATGTTGGATATAGAGGAGGGAGACTGAAAACAGGCTACTAATGGAAGAAAGAGACTGCTAAGCGACGACAAATACTGGGCACAATGTATAGAGACTGAAAGGAGTCTGTAAAGGCAAGAAAGATGATGGATAGAGAAAAGGAAGACTGGAAGAGACTGGTTATAAAAGAATGATACTGTGTAGAGACTGGAAACCGAGAAAAGAAGCTGCATAGAGAGGAGGGAAACTGGAAAGAAGTTGTAAAGAGAAGAAAGAGACTTTACACAGGCTGGTAAGCGAAGACAAGCATTTAGCTGAAAGCATAGAGACTGGAAAATGTCTGTAAAGGCAATAAAGAAGCTTGGTAGAAAGGAGAGAGACCGGAAAGAAGCTGATTGTAGAAGAAAGATACTGAACAAACCCTGAAAACACAAATAGGAGACCGGTAAAAAAAGACAGAAAGTGGGAAGCGAAGACCAGTATTGGGCAGAAAAGATATAGACTAGATGGACATAAAAGAGAGAAGGTAGAAAGAAGGAATATCAGAAAATGATTAGAAAGGTAAGAAAAAGAAAGTTAAGACTGGATGCAGGAGCAAGAAAGGTACTGAAGGGAAAAAAGCAAGTCTGACGAGAAACTGATAATAGAAAGGCGGAGAATAGTGACACTTACATAAAAGGCAAATGTGAAACTAGACACCGAAAAAGAAGACTGACAAGAGACATGAAAGACCAGCAATAGAAAGGAGAGAGACTAGAAAGAAACAGTGAATGCAAAAAACATACTGCGCAGAGAAGAGGAAGTCTTGAAGCAGACGGGTAGTAAAAGAAAAAGGCTGCATAGACTGCAGAGACAAGAAGAAAACTGGACAGAGACGAGGGTGACTGAAAATTGAGATTGGATCTTTCTGTAACTTTGATATTAATATTGAAAATTGATATTAGCCCAATTTTCTCTTTTTGGTAAATTTTTAGTCGTAAAAAGATCTTTTTATCGGAATATGTTAAGGTGTTTTGGGAATAAATGTGGGCATATATACTTGTTTCTTCAACTTAGAAGATAAATATAGTTTATGATTTTGATCTTATGTTAAAATTAGATCGTGTTAGCTTTAATTTAAGATAAACTATTTCTGAACTATAAAAAATAACCTAATTATTTAAAATTTGATCAGCTTATTTAACCTTGTCTTCCAAATTTTATTAAGCTATAACATTGAGCCTTAAGAAACCCATAAACTCGTAAATTTAATTGATAAGAAGTTTTAACCATCAATTCCCTCTGCCGAATCGTTATTTCACTTGTTAACTTTAACTAAAATAGTATTGTTAAGTGAAAATGGATAAAGATAATGCCAAAAATGATAATACTCATTAGGAATTACGATTGAAATACTTCTTATAATTGAAAAATTAAAAATATAGCTTGTTTTTATTATAAAATTAAATTAGGTGATTACTTTTAGGTTCAAATTAATTATGTGTTTATCATGTGACAAATTATACAAAATAAAATTGATCTAATTAATAAATTTTATGCGTATCATTCTGTATTTTTTACACCACATTCAACTTTCACAAGTAACACACGACACCCAATTATTATTCGGTAAGGCCAAGTGACTTACCTTGTGACCACCTCTTTGTCTCATGCCTCCCGAAAAAATCGCTTAAACCGCATCGCCCGTAAGGTCATCAAGCTAACCAAAGAGTTCCGCCAAGAAATCCCCTATAAAACAGCACGAATTTCCACCATTCGGCATCAGTCCATCGACTCAACCTTTACAACACAGACCTACCCGAGCTAAATCTTCAATTCAAGATGTTCAAATTGGTGGTGTTGTTCGCTCTCTTGGCCATCGTTGCCGCCAAACCTGGTTATTACGGAGCCGCCGTCGCTTATACAGCCCCGGCAGTTGCCGTCCCTTCAGCAGTCAGTTATCAAGCTAGAACAGATGTCATCAGCAAACCGGTTGTAGCCACCACGTATGCTGCTCACGCTCCAGTTGTCGCCGCTTATTCCGCTCCTTATACTTATGGATATGGATACGCTGCCGCTCCAGCTGTGTCGAAGTATTATGGGGGATATGGATACGCTGCACCACTTCACTACTATTAAGAATGGTTAAGAGAGGGAAAATGATGATGATTTGGATTGATCCAATTGGTCAAATTAAAATATGTAAAAAATGAAAATAGTAATTTATAAAAATAAAGACTGATTGGATTTAAAAATTTGTTTATATCATACAAATCCTGCAATTTTGTTAAAAATTCCATTTCCTTCCATCTGAGTCAATACTTAACAACATCCTAATAACACAAAATTCTGCATAATTTACAAAAAGTTAGCAAAACCTCCTTCTCTTCATTGATTGCCGTTTTTGGAAAATTCAGCCTTTATAATCAGATGAAATCCGAAAGGTGTCTTTAAAAAACACATACATCTCGCTGTTAGCTAGTCTCAGAATTCTATTCAATATCTTTCTTTCGAAGATGATCACATACTTGGATGCGAATTGGTCTAATGATTGATTTATAAATTCTCATATTTGTTTCGCGATTTGAAAACCGATCGGTTTTTCCAATCTTTATTTGTATTAACACTTTTGAGATATTTTAAATAATCCCAAAATCACCGTTAGTTGAGCTTTGATAAATAATAGATGAAATTCAAAATATCATTGAGAGGTTATTTTAAAAAATTAATAAATGATTTTGATGTTATATTACTGCCAAATTCTTCTACTTTAAAAACTCTCTTGATGAAATTAATATGTTTATTAAATGAAGTTTTGGTATATTTTAAAAAATCCAAACATCTTCAATTGAGGTTATGTTAAAAATAGAGGAATTTCAGAAAAATCGCTGAAGGGTTATTTATGAAAATTAATAAATGATTTTGATGTTATATTGAAGACAAATTCTTCTTCTTTAAGAAATCGTAAAGAAATTAATATGTTTATTAAATGAAATTTGAAGATATTTTAAAAAATCCAAATATCTTCATCAAGTGCGGTTTTGTTGAAAAAAGAGGAATTTCAGAAAAATCGCTGAAAGGTTATTAATGAAAACTAATAAATGATTTTGATGTTATATTGAAGACAAACTCTTCTTCTTCAAGAAATCGTAAAGAAATGAATATGTTTATTAAATGAAATTTTGAGATATTTTAAAAAATCCAAATATCTTCTTCAATTGAGGTTTTGCTGAAAATAGAGGAATTTCAGAAAAATCGCTGAGGGATTATTTATGAAAATTAATAAATGATTTTGATGTTTTATTAAAGATAAATCCTTCTTCTTTAAGAAGACTTGAAGAAATTAATATGTTTATTAAATGAAATATTGAGGTATTTTAAAAAATCCAAACATCTTCTTCAATTGAGGTTATGCTAAAAATAGAGGAATTTCAGAAAAATCGCTAAGAGGTTATTTATGAAAATTAGTAAATGATTGTGATGTTGTATTGAAGATAAATTCGTCTTCTTTAAGAAATCGTAAAGAAATTAATATGTTTATTAAATGAAATTTTGAGATATTTAAAAAAATCCGAATATCTTCTTCAATTGAGGTAATGGTAAAAAGTAAAAATAGAGGATTTTCAGAAAAATCGCTGAGAGGATATTTATGAAAATTAATATATGATTTTGATGTTATATTGAAGCCAAATTCTTCTTCTCCAAGAAATTGTGAAGAAATTAATATATTTATTAGATGAAATTTTGAGATATTTTAAAAAATCCAAACATCTTCAATTGATGTTATGCTAGAAATAGAGGAATCTCTGAAAAATCGCTGAGAGGTTATTTATGAAAATTAATAAATGATTTTGATGTTATATTGAAACAAATTCTTCTTCTTCAAGAAATCGTGAAGAAATTAATATATTTATTAAATGAAATTTTGAGATATTTTAAAAAATCCAAACATCTTCAATTGAAGTTATGCTAAAAATAGAAACATTTCTGAAAAATCGCTGAGAGGTTATTTATGAAAAGTAATAAATGATTTTGATGTTATATGGAAGATAAATTCTTCTTCTTCAAAAAATCACAAAGAAATTAATGTATTTATTAAATGAAATGTTGAGATATTTAAAAAATCCAAACACCTTCTTTAATTATGAGGTAATGCTAAAAATAGAGGAATTTCAGGTAAATCGCTGAGAGGTTATTTATGAAAATTAATAAATGGTTTTGATGTTATATTGAAGACAAATTCTTCCTCTTTAAGAACTCGTGAAGAAATTAATATATTTAGTAAATGAAATTTTGAGATATTTTAAAAAATACAAACATCTTCTTTAATTGAGGTTATATTAAAAATAGAGGAATATCAGAAAAATCGCTGAGAGGTTATTTATGAAAATTAATAAATTTTTGATGTTATGTTGAAGGCAAATTCTTCCTCTTTAAGAACTCGTGAAGAAATTAATATATTTATTAAATGAAATTTTGAGATATTTTCAAAAATATAAACATCTTCAATTGAAGTTATGCTAAAAATAGAGGAATTTCAGATAAATCGCTGAGAGATTATTTATGAAAATTAATAAATGACTCTGATGTTATATTGAAGATAAATTCTTCTTCTCCAAGAAATCGTAAAGAAATTAATATGTTTATTAAATGAAAATGTGAGATATTTTAAAAAATCTAAACATCTTCTTCAATTGAGGTTATGCTAAAAATAGAGAAATTTCAGAAAAATTGCTGCGAACTTATTTATGAAAATTAATAAATAATTTTGATGTTATATTGAAGACAAATTCTTCCTCTTTAAGAACTCGTGAAGAAATTAATATATTTAGTAAATGAAATTTTGAGATATTTTAAAAAATACAAACATCTTCTTTAATTGAAGTTATGCTAAAAATAGAGAAATTTCTGAAAAATCGCTGAAAGGTTATTTATGAAAATTAATAAATGATTTTGATGTTGTATTGAACATAAATTCTTCTTCTTTAAGAGCTCGCGAAGAAATTAATATATTTATTAAATGAAATTTTGAAATATTTAAAAAAATCCAAACATCTTCAATTGAAGTTATGCTAAAAATAGAGAAATTTCAGAAAAATCCTGAGAGGTTATTTATGAAAATTAATAAATCATTTTCATGTTATATTGAAGACAAATTCTTCCTCTTTAAGAACTCGTGAAGAAATTAATATACAGAGTGTTCGGAAATGACGTGTATTATGATTTAACTCAACATATCTGTATATAAAATTGCTTAGTTTAATCGCTAGAGGGCTTTAAAAATGTATGATGAATCAGAGATAAACGCAAAACGAAAATTACGAATACCGCTGCGCTGTCAAGTTTAAGTAACAAACTGTTTTTGTTTTTAAAATTAATTATACCTAGCTAAAACTATTAAAAAAAAGTTATTAGCTACCTTACATCACTCATTCGCGCTTGTGGGGATTTAGAAAATATTTTTTTGTTGCTAAACCGTTCACCCAACTGAAATTTTGTAAGAGAGAAAATAGTTTCTAAATTAAAGTAACTATTCAGAAAAGAAAAATGGTAGTGTTTGTATAGGGGGTTAAAAAGATATAGATGCATAAATTATTGTGACAGTTTTTAAACACCCTATAATTTTCGAAATTAGAGTTTATTCCACAAATAGGTGTAGTCTACTGATACAAACGTATGGCCAATAAATGAGTAAAATCCATCGAGGATTTTTCCACTTATTTAAAAAAATTTAAAAAAATATATTATTTTTAAAGCCGTCTAGAGGCTAAACTAAGCAATTTTGTATATAGATAAATTGAGTTAAATCATCATATTTTTTGTCAAGGTACTTCCCGTCATTTCCAGACACCCTGTATTTATTAAATGATATTTTGAGATATGTTTAAAAATCCAAACATCTCCTTTAATTGAGTTATTATTATTATTATTATTATTATTATTAGAATCCATGTTGCGAGATTAATAAATATAAGATATAATAAAACAATAATGTGTTTTAACTTCAGTTTCTCGCGTTTATTTTTAAATTTCCTCGGTACCGGTTTCGACGCTATATTAGGTCATCATCAGCCGAATCTACAAAACAATTGAATTACAAAAAATCCTGTATGAATGAGAATAATTAAAACTATATATAAAACAATATAAAATCTTATAAAATATAATTGTTTACAAACTTACGGTCAAAAATAAAAACTAAATTAAAATTGGAAACATCTGTTTGGTCATTATAGATAAAATTTTTTTCACACGTAACTAACAATTTAAAATTATTTTCACGAAAAGGACAACACTTGACATGAGACATGAAACACAAATCAAGGACTCAATACAATAATACAAGTTGTGAAATGCACTTTTTAAAAAACGGGTTTGAGAAAAAAGGGAAGATTAAATTTAACAATTCGCCGTTTCAGAAATCTTTTAAACATTTAAATAGGGGTGTAAAATTAAGATCTATTTGATCGTTAAGGAGGGTGTATTTTTTCTTTTTATATTTATTAATTTCATAAGCCTCTAAAAGGTCTAATTTAAAACCTTTGCTGCATTTGTGTAGAAGTTTAACATTACTATATTCTATATTGTGACCTGTTTCGTTTCTGTGTTTATAAATGTTAGAATTACTTTTATTTTTATGTTCTGTTATTCTACATTCCAACTTTCGGCCTGTTTGTCCTATGTAAATGTTATCGCAATTAAAACAATTAATCAAATAAACACCACTTTCATTATTTATGTTATAACTATTTAGATGGTAATTAGATAGTAATTTATTTAGAGTAGTGTGATTGGAAAATGCTAGATTAATGTTATATTTCAAAAATATTTTTTTAGCTGCAGCTGTAATAGAGTTAAAGGGTATAGGTTTATGAATATTGGAATTTTGAATCTTAGAAAACAAAGGATCTTGTTTTAATTTAACTTTATGTATTATTTTATTAATTATATTTGTAGGAAATTTGTTATTTTTCGCCAATTCAAAAATGTAATTAAGTTCAGAGATCTTATTTTCTTGTGAAAGAGGGTAATTAAAAATTCTTTCAATGAAAAATCGGAAGCTAGACAATTTTTGTGATATGGGATGATTCGAGTCGTATGGGATTATTGTGGCTATAGAAGAATTTTTCCTATAAATGTTAAAATTAATCTTATTTTCTATATTATTAAGTGTTAGATCTAAAAAATTTAAAACGTGATTATTTTCTATTTCGATGGTAAACTGTAATTTATTATGTAGTTGGTTTAGGTATTTATGAAATTCGTCCAAGGTGCTAAGATTTCCTTCCCATATGCAAAAAATATCATCCACATATCTTATCCATTTAATTATATGTTTTCTGAAAGGATTCTGTTTTGTCATAATATAATTATTTTCATAATAGTCCAAGAATATATCTGCCAGAATGCCGGATAATGGCATACCCATGGGTAAACCGTCAGAAACTTTATAAATTTTGTCATTGAAATTACAATAATTTTGGGTAACAATGTGTTTCAGGATTTTATTGAAGTCATTAATGTTTGTGTCGTCATCAAAATGATTTTTGAACATTTTATTAGTGAGATCCAAGACGAAATCAATTGGAATATTTGAGTAAAGGTTTACTACATCAAACGAGATTAGCACTCTATTATTAAGTTCCAAACCCTCTACTTCCTTTATAAATTGCAATGAATTTAATATAGAATAATTTGGTTTAAAATTCATTTCTTTGAAAATTTTTAACATGAAATATGCTAGTTTATATGTAGGTGAGTTATTATAGGAAGTTATAGGTCGTATTGGTATATTTTGTTTATGAAGCTTAGGTAAAGCATACAGTTTTGGGATTGTTGGGTTCATATGTATAAACAGAGTGCTGAAAAAGTTTGATTGAACTATCTTACTGTTAATATTTATATGTGGCGAGTACTTAATCAATGTGTCCCTACTTTTATTAATAATTTCTCTGGTTTTACGAATAACTATTTCTAAAGGGTTCCGCTCAAGTTCAACATAGTTATTTTCTTTCATAAATTGGTTAGTTTTTTCTATATATTCATCTTTACTTAATATAACAATGCCTGCGCCTTTATCGGCTTTAACATATATTGCATTATTTTCTTTTAGTTTGTTTTTAATAGATTTTATATATTTCCAGTGTTGATCATGAGAGAAATCTTTATTTTTACTTTTTAATTTCTTTTCTGTTTTTTTGATATAGGGAATGAGATCGTTTTTTATATTATTATATTCTTTATTATTATATTCACAGTATAGAATATAGTAACGTTAAACTTCTACACAAATGCAGCAAAGGTTTTAAATTAGACCTTTTAGAGGCTTATGAAATTAATAAATATAAAAAGAAAAAATACACCCTCCTTAACGATCAAATAGATCTTAATTTTACACCTCTATTTAAATGTTTAAAAGATTTCTGAAACGGCGAATTGTTAAATTTAATCTTCCCTTTTTTCTCAAACCCGTTTTTTAAAAAGTGCATTCCACAACTTGTATTATTGTATTGAGTCCTTGATTTATGTTTCATGTCTCATGTCAAGTGTTGTCTTTTTCGCGAAAATAATTTTAAATTGTTAGTTACGTGTGAAATTTTATCTCTAATGACCAAACAGATGTTTCCAATTTTAATATAGTTTTTATTTTTGACCGTAAGTCTGTAAAAAATTATATTTTATAAGATTTTATAAGATTTTATAATATTTTATATATAGTTTTAATTATTTTCATTCATACAGGATTTTTTGTAATTCAATTGTTTTGTAGATTCGGCTGATGATGACCTAATATAGCGTCGAAACCGGTACAGGGAAATTTAAAAATAAACGCGAGAAACTGAAGTTAAAACCTTTAATTGAGGGTATGCAGAAAGTAGAGGAATTTCAGAAAAATCGCTGAGAGGTTGTTTATGAAAATTAGTAAATGACTTTGATGTTATATTGAAGACAAATTCTTCTTCTCCAAGAAATCGTAATGAAATTAATATATTTATTAAATGAAATTTTGAGATATTTTGAATAATCCAAACATTAATTCTGCCCTCATAAGAATAAACGCGGTATGTTCAAAATTGTTCAAATTTGAGTTAAGGGCATAATATGATTTATCGTACATCTATTTAATCGTGTAATAACTAAATTTGTCGTATCTTTAATATTACCTTGTAAAACCATATTCGATTTTTGCCGTATGTACCAAATCTCCCATGATTTATAAGGATAAACGCAGTATATTTGCAATGCTAAGAATAAACGCGGTATGAAGTCCATTCGCGCCTAAAGATACCGCGGACATCCTTAGTACGCAAAAAATACCGCGCTCTTTCTTAGTAACGCCTAAATTTTCTGTAGCAACAACACACGTTATGACATGCGCATTACAATAATTGTTTTAATAATTCTGACAAGATGACANATTCAAAAAATCGCTGAGAGGTTATTTATGAAAATTAATAAATGATTTTGATGTTATATTGAAGACAAATTCTTCTTCTTCAAGAAATCGTGAGGAAATTAATATGTTTATTAAATGAGATTTTGAGACATGTTTAAAAATCCAAACATCTTCTTTAATTGAGGTTACGTAGAAAATAGAGCAAATTCAAAAAATCGCTGAGAGGTTATTTATGAAAATTAATGAATAATTTTGATGTTATATTGAAGAGAAATTCTTCTTCTTTAAGAACTCGTGAAGAAATTAATATATTTATTAAATGAAATTTTGAGATATTTTGAATAATCCAAACATTAATTGAGGTTAGATAAAAATAAATAAAATTACAGCTTATTTCTGAAGATTAAAAAAAAAGTTTTGTGTTATATTAAAGCCAAATTCTTTTTCTTTGCGTAGTTATAATCAAATTAATACATTTATAACCAGAAATTTGGTGATATTTTAAAAAATCAAAAACTATTTCAATTCTCAATTTCTGTTATAACTAAATATTGTTATATTTCTAAGCTCAAATTGAAATTAGATAAAGAGGTAAAATAAAATAACATAGTGAACTAGATAATATCAAAACATTTTATTATTTACCATTTTATTTCACCAACAAGTTTTAATTAAATCAATCGATTAATCACATTTCTTCATTTTTAATAATAATGATATGCATCGCCATATCCATAAGACTTCAGATGTAACGGGTTGTGATAACCATAAGCGTAAACGGGATCAGAATAAGTAATTACCGGGGCGTGACTAGCATAAGTTGTAATTATTGGTTTACTGAATACATCGGTTCTTTCTTGGTAACTAACCGCAGATGGAATGGAAATTAATGGAGCATGCCCGTAACCAGCTTCTAAATGCCCACCTCCTAAATATCCAGCTCCTAAATAACCAGGTTTAGCAGCTACCACAGCTAAAATACCAAAAAGCACCACCAATTTAAACATTTTTCAATTAAAAAGTATTTTCTGCAGATCTGTGTTATAGAATTTTAAGACTAACGTTAAATCGTGGCAAATATGCTCTTTTATACCACATACGAACGGATGTTTAAAACGAGGCGACCTTATGTGTTGAAATTTTTCGGACAAAAACTTGACTTTATAGAATAGATGTGAGAAAGTTGGAAAGAATAGAGGAAAAGAGTGTTTATATGCATATGTGACCCGTATTCTTGAAAACGTGGAATAATAAGATTGGTCAAAGTTTCATAACTAAGTCGCGACGATTGCGAACTACCTGTTGCGTTAAACGAAACCATAAAAAAAATTAAAACAAACGACGCCGCGTTGTCTTTTTCTTATTGTGTCTTTAACAGGATGTCGTTTTAAAAAATACTCTTGAGTCTCCTATAAGTTTTACTCGACCTTCAGCTTTACGTATCGTTTTAATCTCATTTTTTATCTTCTAAAGGCTACGAGATTGGTTGTAATCAGTTTTTTTTATTATGCTTAAACGTTAAGGCTTATGTGGAGTAATTAATAATTTATGTACGTGGTAATGTCAATTAATAAAATGTTATTGAACTTTATGCAATCAACAATAATAAACAAACGGTTTTAACTAAAAAACTGTTACTCATTAATAACAATCTTTTATTTTAATCTAACTGTTTAACCATACACTCATTATACATTCACTTATTCGTTTATAAAGGTCACACTCGTCTCGTTGTTCGCGTTTTAATAAAACAAATATGTAGGTATATTTGAAATCGCTGTATTTAAAAAAATTATTTAAAAAAGTATTTACAAAGCGCTATCTTTCGTTGAAAGTTCAAGTTTTCGTATCCATATTTATGTGGTTAAAATTTTTTTTAAATAAATATGTTGGGGTTGATTTGGTTTTTTACCAAGGATGTGCGGGGGCTGCGTAACTAGCATAAGCTGGCGCCGCCACCAAAGGGGCTGATACGTAAGATTTTACAATTGGGGCAACGGGATGGGCGTAAGCAACCGGAGCTGCAACAACAGGTGCTGCTTTCACCACAGGAGCAGCGTAAGCAACAGCTCCACTAGAAATCTATAAAAGAGAATTAGAGTCAACGTTGGTACTCAACGATAGATGGAGTTATTTATTTAAAGCAATTACCTTATAAGTGTTTTGATACGAAGTAGCTACAGGAAGTGCAGCTTTAACAACGGGTGCAGCAACAACGGGGGCTGAAACAATCGGGGCTGAATAAGCAATTGGGGCAACATGACCGCCTAAATACCCTGCGCTAACGCAAGCGAAAAAGATTGGGAGAACAACCTAAAACAAAACAAAAATAAATCTTTTTACAACATTTTAAACGTCTTTACTTACGTATTTGAACATTTTGAATGGTTTTGGTTCGGCTGATAGAAACTGAATGGCTCCCCATTGAATCAGAACACCTTTTATACTCAATCCCGATGCCCTCTATGGCCGTTCTTGCACCTCTTGTGTAGGTCAGGGTTCTGATGTAACACCTGACGAAGGAGCACGCCTCAAACTTCGCTTTCCATCGCCGGTATTGAAACACTTTTTCGTCCACCCAGGTGCACAAATTGTGCGTTAAAGAAAGATGAATGTCTATAACGTGACACCAAAACGAATGAAATGGATTTGGATTAACGCATAATGTGAAGGAAAAAAAGAAAAAAAATTGTAACAGTTTTGAAGAATAAATCTGGGCCGAGTAGATTTATGAGTTAACACTCGTTGGATCTTACATGGATCTCGAATATGGTCAAGGATGGGAATCTCCTTTAATTAAGGTTATGCAGAAANAATATGCAACTCGAAAAAATTGTAACAGTTTTATGAGTTAAAACTCGCTGGATCTTACATGGATCTCGAGTATGGTCAAGGATGGGAATTGTTGGTTGACCTCTATTATAATCTTTTAATTATGCGAGTGATTAAGACGATTTGTACTGTTGCAAATCTATATCTAAATTACTTTCGATTTTATTGACACTATTAAATGGAACGCAGCTGTACAATCCAATCACAAATCAAAAGTGATATCGAGACCTGCATAACACCGAAAATACGATAAATCACATTGAAACGAAAAATTTTAACTTGATCAGAAAGGCAGGATACGAAACGTTAAAAGTCGGCGTTTATTAACGGCGTCGTTGAGTAACAGGAATGGCTTCGTTCACTTTTTCTCTTTCCAAATTGATACGGCGACTGCCCCACATTGCTACATAACCGGCTGAATTGCAGGACACTTCTGCATTAGTCAAGTCCGACGGTCCTACGGCATACTAAGTCGCGATATTTTTGTGGAGAACTCGTTCTCTGAATCGATTGGTAATAAAGAACAACGTCAAAAAGTCGCCACTTCAACGGAAAAGATCTTTTTTTGCCAGTAAATTCTGACAAGTAGGTTGAGAGGACAAAAAATGGCAGAATTAAAACTAATCCAGTTTTTTTTTCTTGTAAGTGAAGGCCGATAAAAAGAATAAAAAAATAATAATAGAATAATGGCTTATTTGCATATGTTCGCGTGCTGGTTCGCGGAATTAAATGAGCGTAACGCATCTTGCTTAATTGGTCGATAAATCGTTTGCAGAACGCCACGGTATCAGGAGGTCAGTATACACCCACTTTTTTTTATTACGTTACTATTCGTACGTTGCTCGATTTTTAATTACCCGATTTATTTTCTAGGTCTCATTGAAAGCAAGTTTGTTGTATAACAAATTCAATTACTAACTTTCAATTAGCTTTATAATGAATCAAAATTATAATTAAAACTTCATTTCAGAACCTTTCCCATAATATTTGTCAACAAATATATTCAGATATATCCAATTAGGTGTTTAAATGTGGGAGAGAATTATGGCCAAGGAAATCATATCATTCTAACGTGATATTTCTGGAAATACAACGCAATGATCCTGAATAAAGTTAAAAGTCAATCTGATGATCAATTTGTTAGCAATACTACAACCTAACACCGCAAAAAGACAACATAACACATTGTAATTCGTATTTGAAACACAGGAAGCCAAGCGAATTCCAAGCCAATCCAGCAAGTCTCTTCAAGTTTAAAGAAATAAGCCAAATCGTTTCTTTTGTTGGCATAAGGACGTACTATATTTGACATCACTCTGCATGGTCAGGAAAACTAACCTAACTACAAAGTGACTCATGTCTACTCCAAACAGACCCAACCTCAAGCAACCAATTCAACGCAATCATAACTTAACCAAAATGTAATTCAAATCAAAAATTTCTTAATCCTGAAGTTTTGCCACAAAGCAATTCAACGACAAAGCTAGCCAAAATATTACAAAAGCAATCCAAACTTACAACTCAACACTAAAATAACTCAACTCCTAAGTAAGTCAAGAAAGTAATCTAAATATCATCACCAATGTGCTTAACCTCAAAGTTAAAGCAGATAGCACCTACTAATAAGTCCAACCTCAAAGCATTTAACTCAACGTTAAAGCAATTTAATCAAAGAGTTATTCAAACTCAAAGCGATTTAACGCTGCAGCAACATAACTACAAAGAGACTGTTTTTCAAACCAAGTCAATTCAACCTCTTAACGAAATAAGCGCAAAGTAAGCAAGCCTCAAAGGGATTCAACCCCAAAGAACTGTAAATGTCAGCAACTTATTCAATTAATAACTCCAAAACTAAGAACCTCAAAATACTTCAATAGCAAAGTAACCATTTCTAAGCAAGCCCGTTCAATCCATAAACAATCCAATGACGAAGTAACTCAGCTATAAACAAAGTTATCTTAACAAAGAATCTTATGATTCTGACTTTTTCTAAATGTTGTAGCCCCGAAATTGATGAAATGTTTTGGGATTGGTTTAAATAATAATAGAGATTTTAATGTTATGAGGAATTGAGTTTTCGTGAAACGCGATACCTTAACAAGATTGTGATTTTTGTATTGTATGATGATAACCTAGTTTCCTAAATACCTTAATGTAGAGAAAAACTTCAGACATGTTTTTTGATTGAACCATAATCACTATGTTTCCACTTCCCGAAAGCTCTGTATCACAGTTGAAGGTTAAATTGTTCATTTACAATTGTGTTTCCGATCTTCACATGTATTTTTAATAATGTTATGAATGTTGAAAATGGATGTTATGCAATTTTATAATTTATATAAATAGAAAACAAACAGCTGAGCTGTTATGGAAACATTGGACACCTAGTCAGAATGCCAGAAGAAAGAATTTCTAGATGGGTCATTTTCATATATGTTGTATAGCTGGACAACGAAGGAGAGGTTGGCCAAGGATAAAATGGCAGAATGGAGTGGACGAGATAGTGTGCAAGAGAGGAGGAGAGGAAGTGTGCACGAAGTGAAGAATATGGAAAGGAACAGACAACACTCCAACGCTGTAATGGCATTAGAGGAAGTGATAAAGAAAGCAATTCCATGTTCACAATAAAGAAAATAAGTTTACAATTTTATAAAATATTTATTCAATATCATTTCTAGCTATAAAAGCCCTTTAATCCTTACTGATGTTATCTCATAAAGATATTTCGTAATTTTCTTACCAGCTTTTTCTTCCCCATCCACGATTATCCCTGTCATTATCGTTTCCACGTCGATCATCATCATCATCTACTCTATCACGACGATCATCTCTTCTCTCATCTCTTCCATTGCTTCTCCATTCATTCCTATTATCGTCTCTTCTCTCATCATTTTCTTCATCTCGTCTATCTTCTCTATTTCCCCAGCTACTACTTCTTCCTACATCATCATCTCGTCTTTCACCCCATCCACGACCACCATCATTATCCCGTCTATTATCCCATCCACGACCACCATCATTATCGCGTCTATTCCATCCACGTTCCTTATCATCGTCTTGTTCATTATTCCGTTCATTTCCACCATTTCTTCGCCTATCATCGCCATCATCATCGTCATTTCGATTTCCTCCGCGATTTCCTTCACCCCGTCCCCATCCTTCTCTAACAACTTTTACAGGGTTAAAAGCACGTAGATTGGTATTAATGGTAGACCTAGCTTCCCATGTTAATGCCGTGGCTACGCAAATACAAAGAACGAGCTGAAAAGATAAATTATTAATCATTTTGGTTCTAATTTATAACTAAACTTACCAATTTCAACATTTTGATGAATGTTTTTAGTTTTAGTTGGTGATGCGGAAGTTAATTTTGATTTGATTTGGTGGTGGGTTAGGTTGTCTTATATACCAAACACCCCACTAAACGATGATAAGGTGATATCGTGTAGGCTTAATGTAAATTTATTTAGAAAGGATTTAATATGGGATATTTGCAATGGTAATGTTTAGATTTGACCGTAATTACTTTGTTCCCGAATTAAACTTGACCGAGCAGACCCTGGTAATATTTAATATTATTGCGTCAACTACCCGCTTGAGTAGGTTTAGGTGGCGAAAAATTATTATTATATTTTTTGAGTAATTCTTGATTAAGTTGACTCGATATTGCATCAACTATTATTACTTTTAGTGGTGAGTTCAAAAATTGATTTTTAAGCTATGAGTAAAATTGGAAGAATGAAATTTGGGGTATTAATTTATAATTCCTCAATAGTTCATATGGTGAAAACCATTTTTTGAGACCTCGATTCGTTTTTAATACATTAATTGTTAAAGATAACCTAAAATTATTAATTTACATTGACACCCTCGTTTAGTGTTGAGTTCAAAAATGTATTTCTAAGGTATGAGTAAAATTGGAAGAATGAAATTTGGGGTATTAATTTAGAATTCCTTAATAATTTATATGGTGAAAACCGTTTTTTGATACCTCGATTCGTTTTTAAGACATTAATTGTTAAAGATAATATAAAAATTACCAATTTATATTGCACCCTCGTTTAGTGTTGAGTTCAAAAATTGATCTCTAAACTATGAGTAAAATTGAAAGAATTAAATTTGGGGAGTTAATTTAGAATTCCCCATTAATTTATATGGTGGAACCCATTTTTTGATATCTCGATTCGTTTTGGAGATATTAATTGTGAAAGATAACCTAAAATTATCAATTTACATTGACACCCTCGTTTAGTGTTGAGTTTAAAAATGTATTTGTAAGGTATGAGTAAAATTGGAAGAATGAAATGTTGGGTATTGATTTAGAATTCCCCAATAATTTATATGGTGAAAACCGTTTTTTGATACCTCGATTCGTTTTTAAGACATTAATTGTTAAAGATGATCTAAAAGTTACCAATTTACATTGATACCCTCGTTTAGTGTTGAGTTCAAAAATTGATCTCTAAACTATGAGTAAAATTGGAAGAATTAAATTTTGGGTGTTAATTTAGAATTCCCCATTAATGTATATGGTGAAAACCATTTTTTGATATGTCGATTCGTTTTTGAGATATTAATTGTTAAAGATAACCTAAAATTATCAATTTACATTG